CCAGCGGCTTGGGGGATACCTGGGCAAGATCCCTGGGGCAGTCCCCACCCTGTCCTACCCTTGGGGGGGAATAGGCCCTGAGGTTCCCCTCTTTTAAGAGGATAACCATCCTCCGGATTGTTTTCGGCTCCAGCTGAGCTTTTCCCCTAGCCACCAGGAGACAATTGCCCTCGGGCCTTATTACAGGCATCAGATGAGGGACTCTGACCGAGGTTAGTGTGGGACCTGCTTCCCCCAAAACGGTACCCGGATGCATTCTGGAGCCCTTGGATCTCCTCGGTTTGCCCCGCACTACTTCTGGCCGGGCCGTATGTGTACTCACAGCGGTCCTGGCGGCATGGCAGCACTGCAGACACTTAGTGGAGGCAGCGGTATCCCTCTGCAGCATTCCAGGCCGGGAAGAGCCGCGGGTTCCCCCTCGATCCGTCGGGGGAGGATCCCCGCAACCTAGCATCCTCAGGGCTCAGATGGCGTCTTCCGGGAGGCAGGGGCGCATGTGTGTGACGTCAGACGCCACGGGAGCGTGGCGTTGGACGACAGCGGAGGGGCGGTACTGCGGCGCTGAAGTTGCTAGAGGGCCAGAAGATATGGGTAAACAACGCAATTTAACAGCCTTTGAACGTGGGATGATTGTTGGCGCGGAGCCATGGAGCGAGTATCAGCAACACAGCAGAATTCGTTCACAGCCGAAAATCTGGGTCTGAACGTGCGAATTGTGACCGTCAGCGACTAGTCAATGTTAGGGCAGAACAGAGAGACTGGTACAAGACAACAGAAGGACAACAGTGCAGTGTCAGATTCCTCGCATCACCTTTCAACATCTCGTGGAGTCACGATGCGGCCCAACAAAGTCATCTTGTGGCCCAGCGAAGTACTAATGGGGTGGTCATAATAATCTGGCCACTCAGTGTATAGGCTCCTGTATGACAGTTTAAATATGTACCAAATCCACTATCCACTGGGACTACTATGTGATGCACAAGCCTCTTAAAGTAAACAACACACTTCCCTTCCTTGACCGAAGCAAACCCTCCTTTATTTGTGTCTCACACACTCTTCCTTCCAGACACTGCAGCTCACTGTGGAAAGGTTTCAGTAAGAGAGGCAGAGATGTCATTGCAGAAAGCAGTGGTCAGGACTAGGTATTGCTAATTGACAAGCGACAGCAGCCTTTCTCGACCTTAAGGCCCCATTCACACTAAGCGACACTCACCTCGAGCGGATTTCTGCACAGCGGGTTAGCGTGACGTTTCGGGCGATGTTCCAGCGACGATTGCGCGACCGTCACCGTCGGGCTGCATAAAAAAAAAAAGGAAATTTGCTGACATCTGTGGGAAAAAGGGTCCTGCAGGTGCGACTTGTGACCGCGACGGGCGACATGGAGCTGTACATTAAAAGAGAACTATGGGGTCAGTGTTTTCCCCCATAGTTGTCCTTAGGGTAACGGGAGGACACAAAACTCCAGTGAAAACCATTGGCCGGCGACTTCTCGCGATATCACGCGGCAAAAATGTGCGATATCGCTGGATTTTCCACTCAGTGTGAATGGGGCCTTAGAGGGGCCCTAGTTGAGAATGGCTAAGCTACAGAATTGTGAATCAGCAGTGACAATGCTAATAGCCAAACCCCCTGAAACATTATTTCATCCCGCTGTAGTGTAAGTAGGCACAGTCTGCATGAGAGTGACAACTCTGCTCTGAATTCAGGAGCAGTGCAACATTGCTGCAACACCATCACAGGAAACTGCATTAGGCGGCTCTCACTGGCAGGATCAGCAGGTACATGTGGGACTATGTGGAGGAACTAAGAGTGGTGCTAATGGGGCCACACACTGCACACATTTTGTATGTTTTGGGGAAGAGTCAAAAGCTCTATCAGTTTATTTTTTGTTGCCTGTGTCTCTTTAGGGATCTAACACTAGACATGCAACAGGAAATGTGAGAAGTCCTGTATTAGAGAAATGTAATAGGAATTGTTGAAGGATTTTGCTTTATCTCTAAGGCCTTCATGCAAACTTCAAAATACAAGCATCCCGATGCATTTGGAGCTAATTTCTGAAAGCATGTAATGCTTTTCTAAGGCCTCATTCACATAGCGGTTGGTCGGGCCGTACGGATCCATGTGGCGTGCACGACCATATCGGGCTGTTCCCAGGAAGGACAGGTGCTGCGTGTGATTGTACGCAGCAGCCTGGGAAGACGCGGCCGTACGCTGTCGTGTGCTCGCCCAAGCTGGGTGTCTGTGCTCGGACGCTGACAGGATCCATCCAGCATGGCCCGACCGTACGCTGTGTGAATGAGGCCTAAGGCTGAATTCACACTAGGCGTTCACCATCGTCAAGGTGCATTTAGTGGTTGTGTTTTCATCAACAAGAAATGTGTGCGTCCCTGGACCGTTTATCCTGGTTTATGCACGTACATTTAAATGCAGGAGAAATGGATTTAGGAAGTATAACTTTTGTATTGCTTCCCGATTAATGTGTAATGGCTTTAAATAGAACAAATGCAGGAGGCCAGTGTGTATGTGACTACTTTTATAATTTTGGATTTCCCCCTCACTGTCGGTCTCTGTATGGTGCTAAGGATTCAACTTGAACTCTGATCATATAGCATAGCAATATTCAGTAGTGTAGCCACAACATAACCTTCACATAATGATTCATTTGACATCAGAAAGTCCCATTCTCTTGTAAACTATCTTCATAGCTTGCCTTTAGAGAGTCTTTTGGCTGCTGTTTCCAGTTGTGGAGACCAGTATCCTTAGCCAGCTGTCTGTATGCCAGGCAACCAGACTCCCCACCACCCTCCCAGTAGTTCTAATCGGGCAGCTCTGAGGTGGTGATGGGAGCAGAACGATCCTAGATGCTAATGTGGAGTTTGCTGTGCCTCTCTCTGCTTGGCTCTGCCCCTCTGAGCTTCCATGTACTGATCAGAGTCCTGCAGCTCCTGCCTAGAAGCTGGAGAAACTGATATCGGTTTGAGGCTTTAGTGGGGGACTTGCTGGGCTTATCTCTGCTCCCCTAGGCTTCATTGCATTGGTCAACGTCCTTCAGTTCCTGCCTAGGAGCTCTGGACACTGACAGCAGATTATGATGTTTTTGTGGAGGAGATTTGATGTCAGATCTACTGTGTCTCTTTCCACCCCTTTTGTACTTGGATCTGCAGATCTGCATCCTGCAGTCCCTGGTGGTCTAGGAACCTGGGCGCTGACAGTAGTACATGTGAACTTCATTGAAGCAGACTTGCTATATGGCTTGCTCTTCCTCTCTGCTGTACTTCCCAGAGCCTTGATACTCACTCCTTTCAGTCAATCAAAATCAACCTTTTTTCAAGGATATCATAGGCTCATCACACATGTTATAACCTGACCATACAATGTCTGCGCAATCAACTTTAGATCTACCAAAACTATGTAAAATGAGGACCTGCCTTAGATCTAACGGAGATTGTACAATCGGATTTTAACAGGTTGTGGTGAGCTTTAGAGGATCCAGCAGCAAAGATTCTAAGCTAGCCATATTTCGGCTAATTCTTGCTGAACTTTGAACAGCATGTGGCCCTGTTGGCACCACCCAGCTTGACAAAGGTCCATTTAAAAATTGAGCGAGTCTGGTTGAAAATTCTTGGCCGAACAGTGAATGCATCTTGTTAAATGCAGTTACTGTTGGGATATTCTGGCAGCTGCGGATGGCACGGCTGTCTAAATACAATAGTCGGCATTGGAGAATAATCTGTCTACGCTGATTTTTCTCTTGTTCAGCCTGCGGGGTGATGGTAGAAAAATCTATACGTGTATGGCTAGCTTTAATTGCGGCAGTAAACTTCAGTTTAAAAGCATACATGTTGGTGCAACCTCTGATATTCAAATGGAGAATAACAATAGATTGAAAGGAAGAGGCATGCAATCTATCTGTGGCACGATTACATTACTGTCTTATTCAGAAACAGGAATGACAGGGAAGTTCTTGCTTCCCTGTCACCACCCACAGTGCCGTCCAGTGCACCCCCCTGCAGATCCTCCCCTTGTCTCCGCTTCTAAGGAAACTTTTAGGACCCCTGTGATAATGTTGCAGGGAATACACAGTATCTCCTCATAGAAATCAGGTGGTTTTAAAAATTCCATCTACTGTTTTGCACATGGAGAATGTTCCGAGCATATCATTTTTTTTTTGCCTTGCACAGAGTTTAGTTTGAATATTGGTGAATCCCTCAATTGGGCAAACAGGCAACAATACAAATGGACAAAGGGTGTAACCCTTTCCTGCTGTATCCAAACGAAAATAAATGCCTTCACATACACTTTAATGAGTAAAATGTTGTTATTACATTTTTGAACATCTGATAAAAATCCAATTGAGTGTCTGAAGAAGAAACAGTATGTTGTTCATATCCGCTAACTAGATCTTCCCTTTCATTGATGCACTAAGAGTATGAAAGGAAGAATCTGGTCTGTGTCATATGCGAGACTGTATTTTGTACCCTTGAATGCTGAGGAAGCTCAGATTTATGATTGTACTGAATGTAGGAGATGCAGTATGTTGGATGGAAGTGTGAGTGACGTCCACAGTCATAGGACAGCTCATTCAGTCCTAACTTCTCCTTGTTTATGTCTAAGAGCTTTCTGCAAGTATTGGGACCTGTAGGACAACTCCCTGGTGACTGAAATGGATGGAATGCACAAGACTTTTCTTTCACCGCTTTGTTTTCGTGTTGGATGAAGTTACTGAGAATCATTTTGATTTCTAATAACAGGTTGCAGTAATCCAAATGTACATAGGTGTACAGATGAGTTATAATGGCTTTTTACTGCTCTGTCCACATTTGATGATATTCATCACTCTCATGGTTCTGGCATGGTAATCAGGATACATTACTCCTTTATATTTTTGGACTTCCTTTCATATGTTGTGTCCATGGAAATTGTAATAAAGTTTTCTTATTTTATTGACGTTCCATAAGGAATCGCACCAATCTTTTACAATTCATTGTATGTGCACACAGGCTAAAGGACATGATGAAGATGGCGACACCGTGGTTATTATGCAAAAGGAACAGTTTATGGATGACTTCTTCCTTCAGGTAAGAAATTGGTTTACATTACGGTACATTAAACTAGTCTGTTCCCTGGTATACACTGCTGTAAATACACTGCGGGGAATTTATCAATACTGGAGCAGACAGAATCTGGAGCAGTTGCCCATGGCAACCAAACAGCATCTCTTTAGTTTGTTCGGGTAAGATTTGAAGATGACAGAGAAGCTAATTGGTTGCAGTGCAAATCTGCTCCAGTTTTGATAAATTCCCCCCAGGGCCTCTTCAAACTGTTGCTTTTTTTTGCAAATGAACAAAAAAATCAGTGGTGCTGTCCTTGAAATAGCTGAGGAAGTCAGCTTCTCCATCTAGTCTTTAGACTTGTTTATCCGGTATTCCAAAAGTTCATTGATGAAACAGGAAGTATTGTTTGCTTCTTTTGACATGTGTTTCCGTCATAGATAATTGTATGAACATGAGATAAAATGGAAGAACTGACAGTTGAGAAACCATTTTAGTCCGAAATAAGACACAGTAAAAATAATTTGAAAGGTGTTCTCCATAGTGATAACAAAATGAGAGTTCTCTGCACTGGACTAGTGTCCAAGGAAGGCTATACACCCTGCATACCTGACGAAATGCCGCTTCATCCATCACGAGGAACGTTGCTGTATGGAGGGATGGTACTCGCATTGAGCTCTTTGGTTAGCAACGTTGAATTAACTTGTCCTCCTCATTTTGGAGACACTTAATAGGTCTAATCAACTAAGCTAATTAGATTGGAGCATGAGTTCCAGTGGGAAAAATGTCTGTGCTTGATGACTTATGGGAGCATTTATAAATGTGGATGTGACGAGGATGGAGTCAGAGGGTTGTTTATGTATGTTGCAGTTTACTGAAAAAAAGGAAAAAAGTGTTTTCCCCCATCAACAAACAATAAGCCAATCTTGCTGTACACGGTAATGAATATGATTTGCTTTTGTTAACCAGTGGCACTTTTTATCGTATTGGAAAAATTGGAGAGAAAAAAGGGTCAGGACCACTTTTAGATGTTTAATTATGTCTTGCTAGTGAGATCATTTCTTCTCCCTTCCTGTCCAGCATGAAAGAGGAAAGCTCTGTATTGTGTGGAGAAATATCACCTTTTTACCCTTTCACTGCCAGAGCTGTTTTTGCATTTGTTTGCACATGCTAAAATGTACATTTTAGGCCTGAAGATTGGTGAAAACCCTTGAAGCATAATATTTTCTGAAAGCAGAGACCCTGTAAAATAAAATAGTGGTTGTCACAATTTTTATGCCACTCAATATTAGCACAACTGTTTAATAAACCCACATTTTCAGTAAAAAATAACTTTACATTAATTTTAACCATAGGTACAGTTATCATTTTAGTGCATGGGCATATCTGGCATGTGTTTGGATTCATATGTGCTTGTACAGTAAGTGGGGGCAGTAGACTCTAACTTTTCACTAGTGGTGAAAGGTTCTCTTTAAGAAGACATGTCACCTTTCTACCAGTGATGGTGGCTTGTGTTTGATCAACTTCACTTTTTTGTCAATTCCAGTTTTTGAGCTATTATGACAGCTCTGAAACCAGAAGTGAGTAAAAACATGATACTTCTGGCTTCATACAGCACAGGGGCGATCATTGAATGCATATCTACCTTTGTCAGCTGGTGGAAGCGATCCAAATAACTTGCAGTGTAAAGCTGACTGCCTGCTTACAGTAAAATCACACAGTCTGCTTATAGGGCTTTGCTACCACTGGCCTATAGCATACAACAGCAACAAAAGGGTTAAGGCCTCATTAACACATCTTTAGGGCCATACACCGCAAAGATTCAGTCTAAAGGTGCCCATACACCTTACAACCATCGCAAGACTTTTGTCTTGCGATGGTTGTAAGCTAATTAAAAGCTTGTACAATCTGCCCATCTTGGACAGTCAGATCGTACTTGTGATCATCGCAAGCCCTTCTGATGACCACAATGCTGAACAGGCAGTGTGCGCGTGCGCACACCGGCCCGTTCCGCAGTTGTTGAATCAGCAGGCTAGAAACCCGCCAAGAAACGCACGATTCTCGGCGGGTATTCTAGCATGCTGGTTCGACAAAAGACGTGCAACCGTACAGTGAAAACGGTTGCACGCATTCCATACACCTTGCGAATATCATACGATCGCGGGATTTCCCGCGATTATCGTACGATAATCGCAAGGTGTATGGGCACCTTAAGGGTCACCACACAGGTTACAATCTGCCAATTTTTGTGCAATCAATTTTAGATTTATCAAATCTATGTAGTAGGAGGACCTACCTAATCCATCCAATCAATCTACATCCAACCAGGCAGGTCCTTGCACTACATAGTTGTTGGTAGATCTAAAGGAGATTATACTATCCGATTGTAATGTGTGCGGTGAGCTTAACGCTGCGGATGGATCACTGGTATTTGCGATCACCCACAACCAGGATGACTGTACAAACCAATGACCGGCTGACAGGAGCCATGACTGTTCAAAATGTAACCACACATTGAGCAGTTACATATGGCTAGGGATAGATGAGCAGCCCTGAATGCAAACTGTCTGTTTACAGGTTCTCAGGGAATGCAGGCAGTCGGCCGGCTTGCATTCTAGTGCTTCCTAGAGGCCCCGACATCCTGCCCTCCCGCAGTGCTCGTGTGCGGCCGAAGTTGCACATGGGGAGAGGTGTCCCGCCCCTTTCCGTCTGTCTGACACATTCAGCCGCACGAGCACAGCAAGAGCATAGCCATAGCCAGCTCCTTTTGCGCCAAACTCATGAATGAACAGGAAGTGATATAAATCGCATCCTGTTCATTCATAACTGGGTTATGTATTATGTATAATGTAGAAAAGTATCATGGCACTTTTGCTTGACTGACATAGTATTATGTGTCCCCAGTTATTTACAAACACTGGAGTGATCAGCTGATCGCTCGGTTGTTTGTCCTGCACAGAGGATCGGAACATATCACTGATATGTACTGATCCTCTGCCGCTCGGCCACGCACAGAGGGGGGCTCAGCTATCCTGGGCAGATGCAGCAGGGGATCCGAGGAAGTAAAAGAACCGCTGCAGCCGCGGGGCAGCGGAGGAGGGAGCCACTGTCACAGAAGTATGGCCAAGCGGTGAGGAGAGAGGTGCCAGCTGTCAGATCCTGGCTGAGTGTGTCTCTCTCCTCACCACTCGTCCTTAGTTCTGTGACAGCGGCTCCCTCCACCACTGCCCCGCGGCTACAGCGGTTCCTTCACTTCTCCTCTGATCCCCGCTGGGGGAGCAGCAGGGATCAAGAGGAGAAGCCCCAGGACATCGCGATCTACCAGTGATCGCGTAGCAATCACTGGTAGATCGCGATCGACCTAATGGGCACCCCTGGCATAAGCAATTTGGGGAAAACTTGTTTGAGTTGGAGGAGCCTGTGTTTTGCCTTTGGGAATAAACAGTATCCAGCTTGTGGTACCAGTCCTTTGTACAGCAATTGTTTCTGCGAGAACTAGTATCAAGCTGCAACATGCTTTTTTGCCTGCAGTGGCAAGAGGGATGGGGCTGTGTGACTGCAGGACTAGGAATATGAGCGGTGGCTGCTTTGTGAGTTTTGTCTGTATACAAGGCTGCTCGTCTGTCCCTAGCTGCATGTAACCACTTGGTATGCATCATTTGACTTCCTGTCCTGACAATGGCCAACCTGAAAGGAAATTAGAATGAATATCCCACATGGGGACACCAACATCAAGTAAAAAAAAAAAGTCTGGAATTACACTTCAGTAAAACCTTAGGCCCCATTCACACTTGAGCTCAGTCCTGGGGTGCTTTTTTTCAGGCGTTTAATGAGTGTGATTTGCACAGGCGTTTTTGCACACATTAAGCAGGCTTGTGTGACGTACGCCCGGCCCAAACCCGCTGAATGTCAATCCCACATGACCATACACAAGTCTGAACCAAGCCTGAGCGTCACAAGGACGTGGCGATACCACTCTCATCCTCACCCTGCACAGAGATTTCCCAGCTCGCAGGACACAATCTCAGGCCAGCAGACTGAGAGCGATCATCACCAGGGTTGGTTAACTCCGCAGTCAACCCTTTACCCACAACTTCCACTGCCACCATGTATTTGTCGGAATACAAACCGTGCCCCGCAACTGCTGCGACTATTCAAAACACTTAAACAATGCCTGTGATACAGCCGTCCCCTCAGACAGGAATATGACCTTCTTCACAGAGGCAAGGATACTTTAAGTTCGTATTTAGAGAGTAGAGATAAGCTTAACGATTTTTAAGATCGTCCTTTAATAAAAGAAACGGTGCAGAAAATATACAGAAAAAGATTTAATAAAAAGAGACACAATTTATATACAACAGCAAAATAAAAGGGAATAAAAGAAGAATACTCAACAGTCCTGGAATTGTGAGTTCTGACAGAGTTCAGAGTCCAAGAAGCAAAGTGGAAGTCTGCAGGGCTCTTCTTCAAGCAGACTTCCAGCAGATAATGTCCAAAGATTAAAGGGGAAATCTTCTGCGATTTTAAGACTTCTAGTTCCTCGATGATGTTTAAACCAAGAGACCCTCTAGTCGCCAACACAGAATATTTTATAAGCCCCTTTTGGAGGGTGTCCCGGAGCCAGCCACTAGGCAGGATTGGGGCAGGAAAGCAGGCGGAGGATGAACCTTTAGTTTACCTATCCCCGCCCAAATTCCAAAGTATAAAAAATGTAGCTTGATTTTCCAACTTAGGGTTTCTGACATTCGTGGGAATGCGAGGTCATCACCTAGCTTGTTTATTTTAAAATGTCCACTCGTAATATATGGAGGGCCTAGTGCCATGCCTTTATTTACGACAGCCATAAAAGGCTTAGATAGATATGTTGAAATTTCACTAGGCCTGGGGCAATAAAAGATCACAGCCATCCAGCATCTCTTCTGTGGAATGTGGAGGGACCTGTCAATTCTAAATGAAGACCTGCAGGTGCTCTGACTGGGAAACAAATTATATTTTCTAATATTAAGACCCCAATCCCCCATCATTGTCACAGCTTGAATATCTTAAATTAAAAATAATGAAAAGTTATTGGGCTAGAAGTAGTTTGAAAAATGTGTTACATGGGTTTTCTGTGTTTTTTCACACAGTTTTCAGCCATTCTCATTGAAGTCTTTTTGAGGCTAAAAAACTTGACTCTGCTCCAAACGAAGCTCATGTCCTTTTCTGAGCTACAGGTGTTTTGTTAAAAGAATGTTCAGATGTGAATGGGGTCTTCGTGTATTAAAAACCCTTGAAAACAAATAGCGTCTAAGGCCATGTCTAACCATCTGTGTCCAGATCTCGTCTTTATTTAATTTTGTACTTTAATTCAGAGAGTGATTTAGCAACACAGACCTTATGAAAATAGGATCATGAGCTTGCATGCAGAGCAGGTACTAAATTTCCTTGTGCCCTATTACTGTAACAAGCAGATTAATGCCTGCTTAGATATTTGGCTCTTGCCCAGGCCATTTGTGGTTACCTTTCTACTTAGAATTGATATATTTGTAGCTGGTTTGAAGATGGGAATTGCAGACAGAACATCATTCTGCTCAATGGACAATGAAGGTTTCTTGCACATGTACAGAATACCGTGTTAGGTGTCCAAAAAAAGCAATAGGTTAAGCAACCATCACCCATATAAGATCTTGGGGCTGAGGGCCCGTTCACACTGGGTAAGTGCGTTAATCGCACAGTTCCTTGCGATTAACACACTGTACCTCGCAGTGCACTTACCATACGGTAGGTGCATTGTGTTGGTTCACCTGATGAAGTCACGTGAGACTTAATGTGCCTAGGACGGAGCTTTCTGTTGTTGGAGTGGACAGAGCCTGGCATACTTGCGAAGGAATGCTAGTGATAGAACGGGACCTGTTCTAGTGTACTGTATTGGCTATATTCCACAGTTTTATTAGCTATGATCAGGGTAAGACTATTGGTGTAACTGAAGGACTATACGGAGACAGCTGAATTCCTGGAGACGTGAGTGTGCCACCTATTAACCCCTTCATGACAGGCCTTTTTTCCATTTTTTGCACCCATGTTATATTCCACATTTTAGGCCTGAAAATTACTTAAAACCCCCAAACATTATATATTTTCTGAATGTCAAGACCGTATAGAATAAAATGGTGGTAGTTGCAAATTTTTATGTAGCGCAATATTAGCGCAACTCCTTATTAAACCCCAAAATTTAGTGACAAATTTAATTAAATGCCCCAGAACACAATAACATACCCATTTTTTTTAATGAATATAAAAGATGAGGTTACAACGAGTAAAACGATACCGAACATGCCCAGTTTACAAATTTCGTGCGTCCGTGAAACGGCAAATAACTGCAGTACCCAAAAAAGTCCATAGAAGACGCTTTAAAAGCCCCCACAGGTCATCAATTTAGAGATACCCCAAAATACTGGCCCTAGAATTATTGCTATCACTCCGGCGTGCGCGGCGATACCCAACATGTGTAGCGCGTTCGACGTTTTCATACGTAGGCGCATCCGTCGCGTGTTTACGTGGCGACGCGGGGGACTTAAACATTTTCTTTTTTATTATTAGATTTATTTTAATTTAAAAAACTGTTTTGTTTTTTTTTGTGTACTTTACTTTGACTGCTATCACATAGGGGGGCTTACAAGCCCCCCCATGTACGGGGCGGCCCCTTCTTCGGGACACAGAAGCGATCTGGAGACAGGTAAGTCGCCAGAATCTCTTCTGTTGTAAAGCCGACATTCGGCGTTACAAGTTTAAACAGAGTCCCGGCAGCTATAGCTGCCGGGAGTTTGTTTAAACAGCCCTGATGCTGGTGACGTACACTGTACGTCGTCAGTCACAAAGGGGTTAAAGGGACCGGCGCAGGAAGACCTGATTAATAGGTCATTATCTAAGGTGAGCTTTTGCCCTTCGGGAGTGGTGATATCACGGACATTGGCACAAGATGGAATAGACTTTATACCTTATGGAGCACTTTTTATATAGGGACACCATCCTTACACTGAGTATTATAGTGGGTGGATACGGTTTGAATACTATATTTCTTATCGTGATAAAGTGACATTAGCACTATAATGCTACTGAGAGCACTGTGAAGGCAAGGGAGCTACTCCTTTTGAAACAGTGGTTAATTTGCCATATTTGTTGGCTGCACTATTGATTTAAAATATTCAAAATATTGTTTGAGCACTATATTTGTGATATTGCACTATATTGTCATGCACACAAAACAAACAGAATTTGTATGTGGTTAAGTTGTTAGCTTGGCACATTGGCAATACAATTAACATACATTTGAATGACACCCCAAACCCACCACCCGCTCCCAAAACGATCGATCGCATTGCGGGTGGGTGGTGCGTTTTTGGGGTGCCATTCAAATGAATGGCAATGCAACGGTCCTACCGCACGGTACTGCAGTACTGTGCGTTAATTACATGGAACCATGCGTATTTATGAAGTGGAAATGAGCTGGCACCTGTAGGAATCCTCTTAATGGTGTCTCTTTATTGAAAGGCAAGCTTTCTAGCTGCTATAATGCTTTTTCAATAAAGAGACACAATTAAGTGGATTCCTATGAGTGCCAGCTCATTCCCATTTCGTTTTGTTGATTGGGTCCGGCAGAGACTCACGCTGAGCACCGCGGTCTCCATGGAGTATTGGATCTGAGAAGGTAGAGCTGCTTTATTCTTGCATTGCACACTATATATATTTATATTTCAGTCAGGAAGAGATTAATTTACCTGTATAATTTTGGGTTGTGATTGGAAACTAGAATTCCCTGAAGGAAACCCAGAGTTACACTGGGAGATTGTCCAACCTCCAGGTAGATAGAATTCTAACAAATGAACTCCAGCATTGCAAGACTGATACCATTGAAGTATGTATCTTGCTGGATGACAGCAACATGTGCTATATTATTGAACATGCATTTGTACTCTCGCACATTATCCTTTCTTGGGAGCTATTTATTATTAATGTGGCTAATGGTTTTCTTCTTTGAAGCTGATTGCACTTCTACAAATGTATGTTTGGAATTCACTATCACAAATTGAGATTAGTCTTTGCATAATGTTAATTGGAGTAGTAAATATGTACATTGTTTTATTGTACTTCTTTATTGCTGCCCTTAATGGTTGAACATTATCACCAATGTTATTGTGCATGAAGAAGTTATTGTATTGCATTTTCTTTTGAAATGTTATATTTTTGACCCTTAGGTAGAAGAAATAAGAAACAGCATTGCTAAAATATCTGAAAATGTAGAAGAGGTGAAAAAGAAACACAGCACAATTTTATCTGCTCCAAACCCTGAAGACAGTAAGCTACCAAGTTCAATATTGATAAATATATATAAATGTATCATTTTATATCGGTGAAAAAATACAGTCCTAATTCTTCAAATTTCTAACAGTACATCCAGTATGCGCCCTTTTTGAATTTTACACAATTTGTGGTGCTACAGGTTTTTCTGTAGAAGACGCAACCCCTGCCACTCAATATTTTCTACTTCCTGCTGATGAAAATAATTTTCCACTGCGGGGAGGGGAGGAGTTCCCAGGGTGAGAAAGTGGTGGCTTTCTGCCACACATTTGTTTTGTGCTATGTCCATAGAACCTTATTCCATATAAGTTGTATTATAATTCTGCATTCAAAACATCCAATGGGATTTTACTTTTTCTTTTATACAACCCAGCCTTGTACTAGTTATTCCATGGATAGTTTCTCCGATTTTAGCTGTACATTTTCTGTCAGCTGACTTCAGCAATTTGGGGGGAAAAAAAGTAATTCCTGCCTATCAAAAAAGGGGGGAAATTGTCATTGTATCTGGGTGGACTTTTCTGTATATAGAAATTGCAGATCAAACTTCTGAAGGTAAATTTTAGTTTCACAACTGCTCTCTTGGTTGCAAAAGAGTTGGATCTGGGCGATCAGGAGCTTTCCTAGACCTAAAACTTAAGTTCAGGGATAGGCAACATGGTTTTTGAGTAGGATCTTTCTGGAGTGCCCCAGCAGTGTTTGCTTAGTGGCTTCATCCCCAGTTCTATCTGGTTGCTCCTAACTCAGTCTGGGGCTAAAAATTACCTTTGAATTGCTGCCTACGCTTGTGGAAGCACTTCCCATGCACCCCATCCCTTCAGTCACATTGATTTTGTGGGATTGAGTCCCTGCGTTCTGTAGAGGATTCAGGAGTCACTTCACACCCTTTGTTGGTTGTTGTGTTTAAACTGATTACGAATTTTCTATGGTCAATCTTGACTAATGAGATTCGTCGTCTTGCCAGACAACTTCTTTAGACATGGAGTTTGGATGCTAGGGGGTCAAGAGTGTAAAGGCTTCAGGTCTTTCCATTAGACCCACTGTTTTTTTCTCATCTCGACAGGTTTGTCCTAGGCTTCTTTTAGAGGATTGTTCCCATCTCTTGTTGATCACATCAGGTTGTGGGTCTTCTCTTCCCTTCATGAGAATTTCTTATGGTTTTGGTTGATCACTTTCTCTCTGGTTCAGGTTCCGGTATTCCCTTCAGTGTGGAGTCATTTTCCTCTGGTGGTGATTTTTCCATCTACATCTTGAGTAACGGGTTGGTTCTCTTTGCCTTCCCTCTGGTCATGTTAGTAGTTTCTCCTATCTGGTAGGGGCTCTGCCTCATCCAGTTGAGCTTTCTTGGTACTTTAGATCAGTGCTCCCCAACCTTTTTATCGCCGCGGACTGGTCAACGTTTGATAATTTTACCGTGGCCCGCTGAGGGGGGGACGTTGATTGTTTATATTTTAGATTGTTTTGATTTAATAATTTTAATTTAATTGTATTTAAACATGCCTTCAAAATAAAATACAGTTACACCAAAAAATGAAAGCGTTGGAATTCTTCACCTATTCCACCACCGAAAAACTGGGCGAGATTACGTTAAAATGTGTGACCACGTCACTGGTCAGACATTCTAACATAGTCTCAAACTTTGATAGATCACATGCCTACCTGTAATCATTTAATCAAAGAAATAGATTATAATAGGGAACATTACAGTGTAATATTCCCCATTATAATCCATTTGTCTAATTACATAAAATAGCAGTACATAACAGAGAAATAGATTATAATAGGGAACATTACAGTGTAATATTCCCCATTATAATCCACTTGTCTAATTACATAAAATAGCAGTACATAACAGAGAAATAGATTATAATAGGGAACATTACAGTGTAATATTCCCCATTATAATCCACGTCTAATGACATGATGTAAGACCCCCTCCCTTCCCCCGCTCAGACTCACCCTTCCAGGAGCAGCAGCCATGTGTCGATGTGTGCACTCACTGCAGGGGGCGGGACGTGTGACACACACACATCTCCTGTGACTCACCTCCCCTCCCGCCGCCTGTTACTATAGACGCGGCCAGGAGGGGAGGTGAGTCACAGGACCCGCCCCCTCACTGTGAAGCCCGTCGGCAGTGCGGGGCCCCGGTGTTCGAACACCGGGACCGTGCACTGCCATATATTGCATGACCGGACCGCACTGAGACTGTGCGGCCCGGTACCATTTGATCCGCGGACCGGGGGTTGGGGAACACTGCTTTAGATGGGTCCTGGGCTGCGGACAGCCAGACGGACAGTTCTTTTCATTGGCTGTAGAACCAGCACACAATGATTTTCCAAAGAAATTCAAACTTTATTCCACTTGCATCTATACAAAGAACAACCTCTTGACTTGTTTCTGCCTTACTCTGCATTAGTCCTAGCTATTGCTAAGTGATAGCTATGACTAAGGCCGAGTAAGGCAGGAACGCGTCAGCAGTTGTTCTTTGTATAAATGCAAGTGGAATAAAACTTGAATTTCTTTGAAAGATCATCGTTTGCTGGTTTTCACAGTTTTTGAGCCCATCGCTCCAGAAGAGAGTCCGCCGTGTGGATTGCAAGGATGCATGATAGGGGTGAGCTGTGCATTTGTGTTTCTAGTTCTCTTTATTGGGCCTGTTAGCAGTTGTGTTGTTTACAACTCAGTTGGGCTGTTTTTGGATGTCCTGGCAGTATCTGAATTCCTGTGTCCCTCAATAGACCAGAAAGAAAATAGGATTTTGTACTTGCCATAAAATCCTTTTCTTAGAGTCCATTGAGGGACACTGGTCCCACTTTGTATTTTATGTTAAAGCTCTTTGTACTGTTTGTACAAACCAAGGCATTTTGGATATAGAAGGGGTTATCCTGTGGCTGGCCTATGATTTTTTTACTTTGAGTTCAATCCTCTTGTAGGCAACAGTATCTGAATTCCTATGTATCTCAATCCTATTTTCAAGTGCAGAGCTCCTTTTTAAAAGTCTATGCTTCTTTAAAAAAAAAAACAATGCCATGCTTTGTCATTACCCTGATATGCAAGTATAAATAGTTGTAATTAAGTTGTACTTTCACACCAGGGTATAGATGTGACGTCTGTCTGCCTCTGCAGCCTTGCTAAGAATATCTGGGGTGTGGCAGCTGTGCTGTGAGATCATTCATGCTGCGTTCAGGTGACATGATGAAGCAGGCCTCCTTTCCATTTCCCTTTGTTATCTATTTATGTTCCTGTTCCTTTGAGACTTATGTGACATCTGTGTTTTTTGACTGCACACCTTATAATTAAAAAGTTTCCCCTCCAAATGTGTTTCCTTCACAACAAATATATTTTAAGATATACTGGATAAAGTACTACTTTAAAAAAAAAAATATATATATATATCTCACTCACCTCATAGTTCACCTTTAAGCATCGTTCACACTATTAAAAGTACATCTGTAATGTAATTTTTGAAACATATTTAAATTGCAACCAGTAATTTTCAAAAATTATATATCTGTAATGTAAAACTCATAGTTCACCTAATATAATTTTTGAAAATTACTGGTTGCAATTTAAATATGTTTCAAAAATTGCATTACATAATTTTTGAAAATTACTGGTTGCAATTTAAATATGTTTCCAAAAAAATTACATTACAGATATATAATTTTTGAAAATTACTGGTTGCAATTTAAATATGTTTCAAAAATTACATTACAGATGTACTTTTAATAGTGTGAACGATGCTTAAAGGTGAACTATGAGGTGAGTGATTTACACTCATCCTCATAGTTAGAGCCGATATGTGACATTGAAACTGTCACATGTCGGCTCTATTCATCGAGAAGTGAGCGATCACATACCGTCGCTTCCCTATCATCTCTCTGCAGAGAGCGGTGACTGTCAGTCACCGCTCCCCTGCAGAGATTCCCCCCTCTCCGATCCTCCAGCGCTGACAGAAGGAACAGACGGGGGAGGGGGCGGGCACAGCTGGCTCTGCCTCTGCTCTGTGGACTCTCAGGTGGCTGTGCAGGGTCTATGCTGGGCTGTGCGTTCTCACCCGGGGGTCCCAGTCGGTCTGGGTGGTTGCGGGAGGCATGCATTCACAGGAAGGAGGAGATTTGCTGCCGACACTGTAAACAGGTGCCGCGATTCACAGGAAGGCTGCCGGGACCTTGCTGCAGCTACGGTTTAAAAATGTAAAGCGATGGAATCGGTGCTTAGTATCAGGACATTTTCACAAGTACGAGTGAAAATGCCCAGTATCAGCACCTATACCAGTCTCCGCCCCCTCCTTGTCTCAGCAGCCGACAGCAGAGAGGAGGACAGAACACTTTGGATATACTGACTAGGTATATACCCGTATCAGTGCTGATACTGGACATTTTCACTCGTACTTGTGTGTGTACTTGTCCTGATACTAAGCACTGATATTGGCGCTTTTACATTTTTAAACCGAAGCTGCAGCAAGGTCCCGGCAGCCTTCCTGTGAACTGCTGCACCTGTTTCAGTGTCGGCAGCAAATCTCCTCCTCCTTCCTGTGAATCCATGCCTCCCGCACTTGCCGGGGCCCCTGGGGAGACCGCATAGCCCTGCACAGCCACCTGAGAGTCTGCACAGCCACCTCAGAGCCCGCACATTCCACCATAGACACCGTATAGCTCACCAGAGGGTCCGCACAGCCCATCATAGATCCCGCACAGCCATCTGAGAGTCCGCACTATTACACTAATTGCCATTATTTTCTACTTTCAGAGCTAGTTATCAAGTTATTACTAAAACCAGTAATAATCAAATGCAGAAGCAATAGTTTAATATGACAGAGTAGATACGTTTATTTAGTCTTACAGATAGAACCGGCCCTTTGAGGGTGACCATAATGCTAAATTCGGCCCGCGATGAAATGTGAGTTTGACCCTCCTGATCTAAGGACTGGTAGTAATAATGCAGTATATAAAACTTTTTTTTCTTGAAATTAGAAATACTTTTTCTTGTTTCTTCCTAAGCCGGAATTTTATTTCACATTTACACTTATATACTGTAAAATCCCTTAACAATGCATGTAAGAGAAATGTGCAAGGGTAGCCATATGAAAACAAATTGGGTTTGAACATGAAGCTTCGATTGTGAGTGCTCCATCTGTTGGTCGGGAGTAGCGTTGCATGAGTTCAACGGTAATCTATCATGTGAAAAACATGGAGAATGCTCTTGCCTGCCTCCTTCTTTTTTTTTTTTTATAACTGCTTGCTAGCAGCCATGCTGACACTCCGGCCTAATGTGACACTAAACTCTAGTATTAAATCTTAAAAATGCATTCAAATACCTGAACTATTAACAAAAATGTAGCTTATTTGCACATCACCTGGCTTTAGATGCTCAAAGCTTCTGCCTTGCAGCACTGGGGGTCCCCGGTTCGAATCCCGGCCAGGTCACTATCTGCAAGGAGTCTGCATGTTCTTCCCGTGCTTGCGTGGGTTTCTTCCGGGTTCTCCGGTTTCCTCCCACACTCCAAAGAAGGTTTTTGGCTCCTGTCTAAATTGGCCCTCGAATATATGCATCTAAGAAGGGACTTTAGATTGTAAGCTCCTTGAAGACAGAGACTGATGTGAATTTGCACATGTAAAACACTGCGAAGATTGTCGGTGCTGTATAAATATCTGTAATAAATATAAATCATCTCTGTATTTGTGCTGACACTGTCCTTCCTTCTGGAAGGTGGCTACTTTTGTTCCTCATAATGCCTGTGTTTGTTGTAAAGTAGACACCGCTCCAAGGTCACTCCCATGATAGACTTCAATGTCACGTTTGGTTTACTAATTTGTATTGAGATTGTAGTCCATCACAGGAGTGAGCTTGGAGTGGTGGCTACTTTACAACACATAGGGACAATGGAAGACAAAAGTAGCCACCCTGAAGAAGGAAGGACAGTATCAGCACCAATTCAGAGATGGTTTGAGGATGTACGGCTGAGTGATACACAAATAAGGTACATTTTTGGTAATAGTTAAGGTATCTGAATGCATTTTTAAGATTTAACTCAAGTTTAGTGTCACTTTTGAGTCACAGATTTGGAAAGTATGTAGGTTTGGATTTGAGACTTTTCATGACTTCCCTCTTCAACCTATTTGGTGCATGTCAGTGACATAAAGAATCGGTCATGGGCAGCAAGGCAAATGTCCTTTTCAGAAGAAGGCCAGCAATTTCAGCTCCCCCAGATTAAAGCTGGCCATATACTGGTAGATATTCACAAGAAAAATCTCATCAGAACATTCCCTAATGCCATCACTTGGCAAATGCCGTTCGTAATTCAGTTTAGTATTAACATTCGATTTTGGACTCAATAGAGTTTGTTGAATGAAAACCACATTTACTGTTAGAAATACATTCGTTCGAGAAAAACTTTCAGACCCGCTCCTTCAATATTTTTTTTTTTCCATCACTGCAGTTGAAAACAATTGTTGATTTGACAAAAGAATCCTGAAAACTAAATGGTAGTATTACTCCAGGGTGGAAAATTACATGGATAAATCATCATATCAGTTATGTGGCACACCCAATAAACCTACTTTTATATTGTTTTTTTTTGTTTTTGTTTTTTTTACTTTAAAGTATGGTTGTTGGCAAGATCATTTGTTTGCGTTCTTGTTTGGCTTAGTGTTGTGCTTCTTTCAGCTCCTAATGTTTAATGTGCAGAGGTAATGCATTGACTTCTCATGTGGAACAACCACTCTGGCTGTTCTTTTGTCCACTTCAAATTGCTGAAATAGGGATTCTTTCTGTTCTAGCCTTAGGAGTTGCATTTTTTTTTTTTGTGTATAGGAAATGTCGGACACACAGAGTATGGTGGTGCCGCACAGTCCCCTTTTTAAAATGAAGAAGGCTGGCTCTTTGAAAGATATTTCATTTGCTGAGACTTGTCTCAGTTGCCAGCTGCCACAGTATTTCTTTTCCTCTGTGGCCAATGGAAGCATATTTCTTTGCTCATTAAAGAATTCCAGTGACACCCAATGCGTGGCTCAAAGTGAAGCAAGTGGCATGGTGCTAATGATACCTTCCCTTAATATCCCAGTGGGTATATATTTACCTGATGAGTGCACACACCTTGCTGCTTCCCTCTCAGTAGTCTGGACCAACAGAATTACTGTATTTGCTGGCGTATAAGACTACTTTTTATACTTAAAAACATCCCTCAAATCGGGGGTCGTCTTATACAATGTATACCTTTAGTTCGTTTGGGCCAAGCTGGCCCAAAACGAACATCCCTAAACTGTCAGCCCGCTGGATGTGCGGTAATACTGTATTACATAAAGTATACCGCGCTGAGCCAATCACGGCGAGCAATGTACACAACCTCTGCCAATCCAAGCAGGCTTTGTTTTAATTAATAGAATACTTCGCTCGCCGTGATTGGCTCAGCGCGGTATACTGTATGTAGCCAAAGCTACCGTACATACAGTATTACCGCACATCCATCCATGATGTTTTTAAATGGTGTTGCCTCGGAAGTGGGGTAGTCTTATGAGTATAGCCCAAAACCTATGTTTTAGGTGGAAAATAAGGGGGTCGTCCTATACACCCAGTCACCTTATACGCCTGCAAATACAGTGTTTCAGGAAATCCCCAATATGCAGACAAATTGCTTAGCAGGATGTACTTTGCAGCTCAGTGTCTCTTATTTAGCTATTTCAGATGTTGTTGGAAATCACTTAGTTAATTCTGTTCCTATATGTTTAAAAGTTTTTGTTCCCTATAGAATCAGCTGTTGCGCAGAGCACTGACCCTGATATATTGTTTTAGGCTGGCTCCTTTCGCATGCCTATGGAGCCACCCTTGCGTGTGCTAGTAACTGTGTCTCCACATACACGGCAAGGCAAGTTACTCTGCTCCCCACGCTCCTCCTCCGTTCTCCAAGCTAGTATATGGACGGCTGCCGGGAGTTTGCTTTGTCCCTTGTGACCTTGTATTGGTCAGGAAGTCCAGGGAAGCTGAGCTGAGAGAGTTGGAGCTGTTTAGAAACATAACTGTAAGTGCTTGGGCTATCATGTAAAGAAATACTTTTGCTGGGCAGTGTGTATTTGTTTGCCCCTTATTCACGATTGAGCAAAAGTTTGAGGTTTAATACTATTTAAAAGCTGAACTCCACCAGATACAAAAGGCACAGGTTGATGCAGCTCTGCACCATTAATATGCCGTTAAATTTATTTTTTAACTGCAAGCTGTGTACGTACCTGCATTTGACTTCGAAAGGGAGCAAAGCTGGAAAGGGAGAAGCAGAACAAGGTGCCAATCAGGTGTGCTGCAGTGTAAGAAGCATACTGATGGGAGGAGAGAATAGAGTGATGAAGTAATGAACTAGTTTCACCATCCAGTCATAGGTTGGGCCTGAGCAAGAAACCTTCAAGTGAAATTGCAACAGAGAAAGATCAGGTCCTCTCCTCTGCTAGACAGGCCTATGCTACGGGGCAGAGCTGTGTCATTCTCAGGGTTTGATATACAACAATACAAATCAATTGGCAGGTAAAACGGCTCTCATATTTGTATTTCATCTGTGTATTTAGCTGTTTTCTGGATTTCAGCTTTAGCATGGCCAACTCTGTATTTGGAACTGTGTTTGGAGCTATGACATTGGTAAATACTGTTCGATGGTAAACAGTGGTGAACATTATTATTATTATACAGGATTTATATAGCGCCAACAGTTTGTGCATCACTTTACAATAACATTACTGTAATAAGACTATGTAGAACTACCATCTGATGTGTTCTAATTTATTGTATGAGAAATTAGGGTCAAATGTTTGATTCTTGTGCCTTTTCTAAAGGTTGTATCACTACTTCCTGACTTCCTGTGTAAGTGTGACTGTTTCACTCCAGGCTCTGTAATCATAATAAGGTATAAGGTCAGCAGTACAAGTCATTGATTTACTGCTGCTAAAAGGAAGTTTATATTTAACTCTTTATCTTGTTTTCCGAGTCATTGAAATCACCTCTACTGCCTGTTGGACTTTTAATATTCTTCTTTTATTTTCCAGAAACCAAGGATGAACTTGAAAGTCTCAACAAAGAAATCAAGAATATCGCCAATAAAGTTCGGACAAAATTAAAGTGTAAGGCTTTCTAATGTGTACAAATTGGAGTAATTGCCCTATTTATGCTGTAACATTCTTGGTCCAGCTCAACGCAATTATAGCTGCATAAAAAAAAATCTCTGCGTTTTTCTGCATATACGGTAGTTCCCATACCATTGACTGTAATAGTACAGATCTCATGTATTGTACTGTCCTCAAAATTCACACGTGTGAATGAGCCAACCTTTGGTGTCTCCGCTCTGTATTATGAATCTGCCATTTAGATGTATTGTTTAACTGTAAGCTGTGTACGTTCCTGAATTTGGAATCAACCTCTTGTAGTTTACTATACAGCAAACTGATAAAATCTACACTCAATCACAGCGCTCTTATTAACGCCATTATGACCTTTTAGCTGCCAAGGATTATTTTTATGTTTTTTGCACACATGATATAATCCACATTATAGGCCTGAAATTTACTTCCAAGCCCCAAAACATTATATATATTTTCTGAAAGCCAAGACCCTATAGAATAAAATGGTGGCAGATGGTGTTGCACGCTATTGGCGCAACTCCTCAAATCCAACAATTTAGTAAAAAATGCACTTAAGTTAATTTTAGTGCCCCAAAACACAATGAAATAACCATTTTCTTTGTAACATATAAAAGATGAGGTTACAAAGAGTTAATAGATACCCAACATGCCCAGTTTAAAAACTGCCTGCGTGCGCAAAACGATAACAAAATTCAGTACCCCAAAAAAAGACGACGCTTTAAAAGCCCTACAAGTCATTAGTTTGGAGCTGCATGTAAATATTGGCCCTAGAATCATTGCACTTACTCTGTTATTTTTACATTTATTTTATTCTATATTTTTTTTAACTTTACATCAATTGCTATCACATAGCCCCCTGTGCAACAACAGATTGGCAGTGACAGGTCCTCTCAAAGGTGATACAGTGGGTTTCAAAAGACCTAGTGTCACCTTTCCTATTGAACTGCATATTGCACTTCAATAGCTTATTGCTTGGCTTGAGGAGCCCAGCAATGACAGATCAGGGACAGAAAGTGATATAATCCGCATCAGGTCCGGTCCCATAAAGCGGGGAAGAGATCAGTGAACGTAAGTTCTTTAGAGGCCCATAGAAGCGACCTAGCGGCAGCTGAGCCGCCAGAATCGCTTCTACTGTAAAGCCGACAGCCGTTTCAGCTAGCTTCTTTTGCACGTCTATGCTCGTTTTTGCACATGGTTGCGCTCGTGAAAACGCACGTTTTGATTGGCAGCTTAAGAGACTGCAGTCAATGAATGAACGCATGTACAGACTCACAAAAAACGTGCATGAAAATGTGCAACATGCTTTTGTTGCATGTTTCCTGGCGTTTCCATTAAAGTCGATGGGGGAAAAAATGAGCTACAAACTGCCAAAAGAAGCTCATGTACTACAGGAAAAAATGCATGTGTGACTGATATCAACGGATCCTCTTCCCCCTCCACTGTGCTCCTCTCAGTGAACTCACCGGAACAGATGCGACCCTCCACGGAAATACACAGGTTAAAAGATCTCCCTTCTTATTCTGTTAGTCCACCACTCCGAACGGCAAAACACATCTCCTCCAATCCTGTAAGGGTCCCCTTTATAGTAAAATTCCTAGGGTAAAAATGTTAAATGTTTTATTTAAATGAAAGAAATAACACCAAGTGCACGTACATCAAATTGTGCTGTATCCAGCACCAGATAATTATCTTCTACATAAATACAAAAACAGATGGAGAAGCTTGCAGCCCCCTCTTCTAAACTTATTTATTTAAAAAAAATATTTTAACTTTACTGTCGGGGGCTCTGGGGAATATTAGGGGCCTAAACAGATCCCTGATACTTCCCTATTAAAATAGAAAAAGAGATTGAGGACAAAGAGTCCTCAATCTTTTTCTGCAGCCCCTGTTATAAAAGAACAGGAATCATGTTCATTCATAACATGTGGAGATAGTATGTTTACTATGTCCACAATAATGAATGAACAGGAAGTGATGTAAAGCACTTCACATTCATTCTTGAGTGGGGACACTAACCATACTATGTCCTCAGTTATTTACAAGCAGTCATCAATCACTGATCGCTAAGTGCTTGTTCCCGCTTTCCATCCTGACTTGCTGTCACAGGAGGGTAAATGGGGCGGTGAAGGGGAGGAGTCATCAGTCAAAATAGACTGAGCTCTCCCCCGCATCGGCAGCTTGGCCTCTTTTGACAGCTGTCTTCTCCCCCGCAGCGCTCTCCATCCTGGTTTTTCAGGTGCGGGAGGAGAGCCTGACCTCCTGTTACACGCCGGCCACTCGCAGCGCTCTCCTCCCCTGCACTGCTTGGCTTCCTCGGACCGTTTCTCTCCTCCCTGCTGGACAGTGCGATGTGTCAGAGGAGACACAGAGCAGCACCCAGCGAGGGGGAGAGAGACCAGGCATGCACCACAATTGCGGCCGAAAGATCGTATTTTTGGCATTTTGCCCAAAGTACCATTTTTTTTATTTATCCTCCCATGGATTGGCAATAATTTTGTGATTCTCTTGGGTGTAGAAGAACCTCACCAGCACACAGTAGTATGTACAAAAAGTATGCTTTCTGTATTGACACATATTGTCGCATATAAAACGCAGCGTTTCAGGGCCATGCTGGGGCCCCTTCATCGGGCTCAATACCTCAGACATATTGAGCGCGATGAAGGGGATCCTGTGTGGCCCCCAAACATTGTGCATTATATGTGACAATAAAGAAGACTTACTTTTTGGACACATTACTAGGGGGTGCTGGTGACGTTATTTGTTTTTTCTCTAATCCACACCCACCTCTTGAAAGTAGCGGTTGTCCGGTAAGGAGTGCGACAGGATCCTCGTGTGGTCTGTAGAGGGTCAATTCTGCTCTGGTGAGCTCACTGAGTGGAGAAAGAAGAGCATGGTGGAGGTGGAAGAGGATTGGCTGATATCAATCACACAGACTTTTTATTATTTTACAAAGAAGGAAACACAGGTGCCGCTCACTCAGCGATATAGAGGAGGAATAAATGCGCCTAATGGTGAAAACATTTGAAAACGAGCGCTTATGAATAAACGAAGTACGATGAAGGAGGACGTTGAGAGCTGTCCCTGATTCGTATACGCTTTTCTGGCTTTTATTTGACGGTCAATAATTGGGGTCAGTGCATAACCATGGGGTGTGTTTTTGGCACGTGGAGAACACGATATTCATTGGAACTTTGGGAGTATTCCACACAAGTTTGTTGTTCACACTATTGAGCTTGGAGAGAGTTCTTTTCTTCACCTGAAAGTTTTTTTCATATTTTTATTTTTCTCTGTTAGGCCCCATTCACACTGAGCAATTTATCGCGCGGTAATCCGCGCGATATCGCGGATATTTACCGAGCGATATCGCTCTCCAATGCATCTCAATGGGGCTCTGTCCGTCGCGGGTCGTGCGTCGCGGGTCGTGCGTCGCTACAGCAGGACCCTTTTTGGAGCGGATTTTGCCGCGATTCTAGGTTGCTCAATGCAACCATTTGCGCGATATCGCGTTTGCGAATCGCTCAGTGTGAATGGGGCCTTAGGGACCGGACTGTCTTCTGATTGATCATGTTAATTCATTTTGATTGAATATTTTATGATATCAGTCCCATAATTATATATATTTATATATTGATGTGGCACTTTTTATTTTGATACACCATTTCATTGTGATATTTCACCATTTCTCTATTCTTGTTTTATATTTCATATTGATTTGGCACTATTTATATGATTTATATACACACCTTCTGGAAGGTTTTTAGCGCTGTGCTGTTGTTGTTGTACAATAATTAAGGCTATGTGGCTTTTGTGTAGCAGCTTTTAACCTATTAGTGTTACTAGTTTTTTCCAAAAGTGCAGATTATCCCTATTTTATTCATTTTTTGATTTGTTGCCATGTTTTGTTTTATGATTCTGCCATTCTATTATGACCTACAGTTGAATATAAATCCTATAAGAAATAAAGGAAATGTGTTTTGCCTGCTCACTCATGTTTTCTTTACAAATGGTACATATATTCCCAATTCTTCGAGGGTATGCAAACTTTTGAGCACAACTGTAGCGTCTGTCCGTTTTTTTTCTTTTGTGCCGCAACTTCAAGCACCTGTTTAAGGATGAAATTGAACCCCAGGAGTGCAAAGGAACACTTTTTATATATGCACAGATCTGTTCATTTCCATAGCCGCTAAATTCTTACACCAAACGTTAACAAGAAATAAATCTGTCCCTACGTTATGTTTAAAAATAAGGAATAGATGAACAACTGCAAACAAAGACATTTTTCATAACTGTACTTCTGTGTCTTCCAAGTTGGGACTTTTACAATAAACAGATATGTCTGATATGTTGTATGACATGTCGGTTCCTCTGCACAGTGTTTCTGTGACAGCCCTGGCTGCTGTAGTGGCAAGCACACATGAATGGAGCTTTTATAAATGAGCCTTTCTGTCCTACTGTGGTTGGTGCAGAATGCTGTCCTTACATGACATATATTTGGGGTATTTGTATGAACTGGTCTTCCAGATGTGCCCCATTGTGTTGTAATTGTTTTGTAGATATACAGGTGAAACTCGAATAATTAGAATATCATGCAAAAGTAATTGCAGTAAGTGCTGCAAAAGGGGCCCAAACCAAGTACTGAGTACATATGCATGCTTGTACTTTTCAGAGGTCCGATATTGTTCTATGTACAATCCTTGTTTTATTGATTGCATGTAATATTCTACTTTTTTTGAGGTTGTGGATTTGGGGTTCTTGGGGTTTTCATGAGCTGTAAGCCATAATCATCACAATTATGACAAATCACGGCTTGAATTATCTTGCTTTGCATGTAATGAGTCTATCTCATATATTAGTTTTACCTTTTAAGTTGCATTAGTGAAATAAATGAACTTTGCACGATATTCTAATTATTCGAGTTTCACCTGTATATCAAACTTCAATATGGAGTGTTAATTATGTTGAATTCTCCCAATTAGGAGGACTGAGTTGTGAAATTATTATGTTTATATTGGTATAAGTAATTGGGAATCCTAATAGTAATATGTAATACAGAATGTATACAGTAATACCTCGGGTTCATGAATGCTTTTGTCTGAGGAAGAGGATCCTCTGTGACCCTGAAACGTTCGTTGCTATTTACTATGCTGCACGTCAATAAATAGACGTTTGCTTATGAATTTGGAGTGCCGGTGTCTTTATCTTTACTTGTGATTTATAACGGATGCCACCTGTTGACTACCACAGCACCCGCTTGTTCAAAGGGATTTGGCGGTCAGGAGTGCGATAGGACCATGGACCTTTCCATGAACGCTTCTGTTCGCGAACAATTTGGTTCGCGAACAGAAAGTTCAGCAAAATTTTGCTTCTGTTCACAAACTCCAAATCGAGTGATGAACACGAGTGTGGCCATCTTCCCCGATCTGACACGTGGTCGGAGCTTACTCTAGTTGAGATCACGGACAGACCTGTGCACACTAGCTGTGAAGCTTTTTTGTGTGCTTTTTAGCACATACAGTACTGTACAGTATTATTCAATCCTGCATGGCTCCAAAGAAAGTGCAAAGGTTAGTGTTCACTCTCTTCATACTGTACTGTACTTTTTCATATTTTTGTGGTAACATTTTTTTTTACATATGGTTCTGAACGGATTAATCTTATTTACATTGAACCTTATAGGAACATTTGATTCTGTTTGCGACCATGTTCGCAGGGGTAAGATCGGATTAACCTTACTTACTTTGTACCTTTTATGGGGGAATTTGATTTGGTTCTCTACCAATACGGTTCGCAACCAGAATCGTGGAACGAATTACGTTCGTGAATCAAGGTACCACTGTAATATACACAGTACCTTGGTGCCTTATTATCTCATTTAAGTGCTATAATTAATAACACAAGCATGCTTATCTCCTTAACATAGCTATACAGAGTAGCCAGAGCTACTACAGTGCTTTACAGGATCCCTGTGGGTCAATCAGGTGTGACATATGTATCCTTATATTGGGTCAAGCTGGACCGATGTAAGTATACATAATGAGTTCTACCTTAAAAGAGAACTATGGGCCAACATTTCTGCTTTCTGGACATATACCATGTCCTCCTGTGACCCAAAACTCAGCATATAGTGGGCCATTGCCCACTATATGCTCATAGCGCAAAGCCACGCTGCAGCCGGGTTGCGTCCTGACAATATTGTCGGGATCCACTCTGGCTGATTGACAGCTGGTTTTGCCTCTCTAGAGGCTGTGCCCGCCTCTTACCCTGTCCATTCCACCAGTCAGCATTGGAGAGGAAGGGGAATCCTTGCAGGGAGCGGTGACTGACAGTCGCTGCTCAATGCTGGGAGAAAATGGGGAACTGAGCGATCAGCAGTATGTGATCACTCAGTTCTTTAGAGGGACGTGTGAAAGCTGCAGTTTTACATGTCGGCTCTAATTCTGGGAAGGAGTGTATTTCACTCTCTCCATAATTTAAGTTTAAATATCACTGACAACCAGTGCTGGCAGGAGTTAAATAGAAATGCCACTGACACCAGTGCTGGGTGGTTTTTATTACGGCCACTGACACTAGTGCCGGAAGTGAGTTATTGCTCCAACTGGCACCAGCAATGGGGCTTGTTTAACTCCCACTTTCTCTTCAGTGTACTCCAAGGCCCTATTTTGTCTAAACTATAGTAAACGAAAGGGGGGAAGGTGCATCACTACAAAGCGTATGCAGTGAAGCAACACTCGCTTGATTGGCCAGGGAGGAGGTGCAAATAGTTGAACCTTTTTTCTGAGAGAGAAAAATCCTCAGGGGAAATGAATCGGGTAAGGAACTAAAGCATTCAGCCTTTACTGTTGGCAAATTATTACAAATCTATCTTGTGCTAATAGTAGGGGTATTTGAGTGTATAGGGTGTGCATGGCCAATAGGAGTGTAGACATTGTAAGGATAGAAATAGGGAAGCTCTCTTTGCCAGCTTGGTTTTTAAGGTGTAGGATTTAGGGCTGTAGCATTCTGTTTGTGACTACCGAGTGAGACACTGTCCCAAAGCAAGAATGTAGGTCTTTTTCTAATTGCAGTCTTGTCCCAGCCATAATCAGGATGTCTAGCCTCACACGTGTCTTCTGTTGGTCATGACCACATTTGGCTTCACATGTTTTTTCTTTTAACATTATTAAGTGAGGCAGATTTCCACTGGGGAGAAATTTAAATTTGACTTGTCAGTCCAAAAGTTACATTCAGGTTTGTGGCGTATCTTGTGCTTGTACCATTTTCACCTTGCTCTTTCACTTTCTTTCCTTATAGCTATTGAGAATACTTTTGACCAAGGTGATCATGTCAACAGATCCTCTGTGAATTTAAGAATAAGAAAGACTCAGGTAATGCTTGTACAGTATAACATACATGGCTTGGCAACTTTTCTTTTGTTTCCCTGTTTTTTGCATGAACAATTTTTGTGTGACTGAGTTATTTTACTACTCTTGCAGTCTCTTAAGTGACTCTAACACACACACGGTGGGGACTTGATGAGCCATGTAATGTAGAGGATTGTGACAATTGACAAGTAAAATTGATAATTAATTGATGATGATACACATTTTTCACTTTTGAGGGAGAGCCCATAGCCAAGACTGTTTTTATTATGATTCAGCAAAAATTCCTGTCAGTGACTTTGATACATGTTATGCACATAAAGAACTAGAGACTGCATATGTAAAAATTGTGCTAATATAAATATACACACCATAAAATAATCCAAAACAGATACTTTTACACATCCAAACACACGCCCATCTAATTGTATTAGTACTATCTTATAAAGCTGAACTCCAGGAAAAACATGCTATTGTTTTTTTTTGTTTACGTTAGGCTACCTTTTTCTTTTGAGTGTCTATTTTTGGTTACTTCTAATACTGTATATGCTACATATTACACTAGGGCTGCTGCATATGCTTAAATTGTTGTCTTCATGACGGATATACTGTTAACTTTGACATTTCGGACTTTGCTACTGTAACTTCCCACCTTGAAGGGATACTGGCTGCTCATTCTTCCCCTTCCTCCTCCTTCACCAACTGACTAAACATCTTGGGGGGTATTTATCAAAACTAGAGCAGACAAAATCTGGAGCAGCTGTGCATGGCAACCAATCAGATTCCCCATTCAGTTTGTTCAGTTAAGATTTGAAAATTAAAGAGAAGCTGATTGGTTGCATGTTTGCTGCTCCAGATTTTGTCTGCTCCAGTTTTGATAAATTCCCCTCCTATTTTATTCATGGAATACAAGGCATTCTTTGATTGGGCAAGGGGAGTGAAGGAGCAGATGAAATATAGGACCTCCCTTGGTGCAATCAGAGAATTAATTTTATACTGTGTATACAAAACTTTTTACCGGTGGTAAGGAGGACGGTGGGGGAGAGTGACTGCTATCCCCGTACTGGACAAGACAGGAAGTTACAGCAGCAGAGCCAAGGATCATTAAAGCTGACAGTAAATCAGTCATGATGACACCTAAGATGTTTAGCATCTCCAGCAGTCCTCTGGATGTAGTGTACCAAGCATTTGATGGCTAACTAAGCTGGAACAATCTAAAGTATACAAATTTTTTTTTTCCTGTAGTTCAGATTTTAGGCCTGGTTCACAATGAGCATTTTGTAGCACTTTTTCTGCCCCTAAAACCCCCCAAAAATCTCCATAGACTCAATAGGAAACGCTTAAAAACCCGCATTTGCTGTGTTTTTGCGTGCATTTAACGTGCATTTGCTCATTGACATCGATGAGCAACAATCTGCTTACAAAACGCGTAACTTGACTTATGTGCATAAACCGCGTGAAAAACGTGCATCAATAATGCGCACAGTGATGCACAAAAACGCTGTTACCTAGGTGTGAAACCAGCATAAGTGTTTGTTGTTTTTTTTTCATGTTCTTTTGGAGTAGTTACAAGAGAACTATGGGGTAACCTTTTTATCCCATAGTTCTCTTGAGGGTCACAGGAGGACATATACTAACCTCCTCCAGTTACCCAAAGCTCAGTATATAGCAGACTATTGACTGCTATATGCTGAGAGCGCAGCAGCCGAGACGGATCCCGACAATACTGCCGAGATCCAGCTGGCTGATTGACGGTGGGCTCTGCCTTTCTAGATGCAGAGCCAGCTGTCACAGACCCCCCCCCCCCCCCCCCCCACTGTCCATTCCTCCAGTCAGCGCTGGAGGATCGGAGAGGGGTGGGAGGAATCCCTGCAGGGAGCCGTGACTGACAGTCAGCGCTCTCTGCAGGGAGATGATCGGGAAGTGAGCGAGCGACACTATGTGTTTGCTTACTTTCCAATCAATTAAGCCTACGTGTGACCGTTTCAATGTCACAGGTTGGCTCTAATTATGGGGATGAGTGTAATTCTTCTTTTTAAAGGTTTAAAACTGTATTTTTTTGCCAGTTTTGTCCCATTGGGGACCAAGAGAGTGAATGTTCCTAGTGTGAACAGCAATACAAATCTGACAGGGTTTAGGCTCTACATACAAGCGGAACTCGCATTTAAAACAAAAAAAAAACCACTGGTAGGCTTTTATGACAAAATAGACACTGTATGTTTTTTTTAGTCAATGAAAAGTTACAAGAGCACTCCCGTGGTATAGCGCTCTTCGAAGGGGGGAGGTGTGGGCAGAGGTGTATGCTGGTTTTTGTGTGTACGTGTGTGGAGGTCCACGTGGAGGGTAGGCCCGATAAGTGGGTTTTGGAGTAATGGTATTGAGAATAGGCGTGATGGTGAGGATGGATCCAGGGGTTGGTGATGTGCCTTCCAGTCAATGGCGGAGGGAACCAGAGAGGGAAATAAAGACGGTGGAAAGTTGAGTAATCAGGAAGCGTTTGGTCACATGTGTGATATGTAGAAACTCACCGTGAAGTAACGCAATGTCATCAAGGTTGTTGTGGCTTTCTTTGAATCCTAGGTGTTGTGGGTAAGTTCATCGCCGATCTGTTCAATTCGGAGAGGAAGAGATGGTGTCCAGTTTTGGCAGCTGATTGATGTTCTTGAGGCGATGGTGCGCAGGTTGCAGCGTTGAGGTTGTTGGTGGTGTGGTGGCCGTGGTTCTTCACAAAAAAAGTTGGCTGATTAGGTATGTCCTATGGGGGCTTCAACTGGGGGGTCTGCCCTTCCGATTGTTGTGCCCCTGAATGTGCCCGGAGGTGTGTAACTGGTGAGGCTTCTCACTGGTGAGCCTGGGGGCTCATACAGTCTGATCCGTAGGTAAAGGTAGGGAGGGGAGATGGTTTATTCAAAAGGAGTGTGTGTGGGGGGGGGCACAGGTTAACATTGGTTACACACACCACTGGGATGAAGGTGAATGTGTGTGTGTTGCGTCTGCCAGGCACTGTGATGCTGGCGACTCGTGCCTGGAGCCATGGAGTGAAGGAACAGCCTGATCATAACTATCAGGGCGGGAGTAAAGAAGTGACAGGGGGCGTGTTTGAGGACACAGTGCTCAAGGGCACGGACCTTAGCCTGAGGCAACGAGCGGTGGATCAGGTGGACAAGAAAATGTTCAAGGCGTTTATTGGAGGAAATGTTTTTTGTAGAGTGGTGATCGAGGACACACCACTCAACAACACGGAGCTGGCCCGGCGTCGAAGTGTTGTGTCAGAGGAATTCAAGGCAACACATTTCAAAGAAATCGTCGTCTTTATCAAGCCGGGGTGCAAGGAAAAGTAATGGCAGGAAGGGGGATTTTTAAATGCAGGGGATTAGGTGGAGCCATCCAAGGGGGCTGTCTTTGGATGGAGTGAAAACTCAATCTAGAGCGGTGGCGATGGTGAGGGATGTTTTGTCAGTTGATATGAGATGTGAGGCATATGGGCATGGGGTGGCAAAGTATACACCTTTTAGTTCCATCAATCTAATAAACATGTGTACGGATTCATTTGTTTAATGGGATTTAGTGCTGAAAAAAAGCAGGCAGGGTTTTCCGTGAATTATGACGTGTTAGGGATAAGGAGTGGAAATTAAATAAGGAAAGTTGAAACCGGATGAAGAGGTGTTTATTCTGTATTGGATGCAAACTGCCTGGAGCAGTGGAGCTGGTTAGGGAAATGTTTAACCATTTAATTACCATCTGGGGCAAATGGGCATGAGGTGTAATGGTGGAAACCTATATGGTGATCAGAAAGGTGGGAAATGTTGGGGAAGGTTTTCCATGAATTAGGATGTGTTGGGGATAAGCAGTGAAAATAAATTTAATATTTTAATTTTCACTGCTTATCCCTAACACGTCATGATTCATAGAAAACCTTCCCCAACATTTCGCCCTTTCTTATCTATATATAGGTCCACCATTACTTCCACCCTCCAAGTCCCTGCTTTTTTTTCCAGCACTAAATCCTGTTAAACAAATTAATCTGTACACATTTATTAAATTGATGGAACTAAAGGTGTATACTTTGCCACCCCCATGCCCATATGCCTCACATCTCCTATCAACCGGCAAAACATTTCCCCCACCATCCCCACCGCTCTAGATTGTTTTTACTCCGCCCAAAGACCTCCACCTACTCCCCTGCATTCAAAAATCCCCCTTCCCGCTAGCACTTTCCTTGCACCCCGGCTTGATAAAGAAAATGAGTTCTTCGAAACGCGTTGCCTTGAATTCCTCTGACACAATGCTCTGACGCCGGGCCTCCTTCGTGCCGTTGAGTGGTGTGTCCGCGATCACCGCTCTACAAAAGACACTTCCTCCTATAAACAAACACCTGGCATGTTTTCTTGTCCACCTGACTCGGGCTAAGGTCCGTGCCCTCGAGCGCTGTGTCCTCACACCTGCCTCCTTTCATCTCTTTACTCCCGCTCCCCTGATCGGGCCATTCACCTTCATCCCTGCGGTGTGTGTAACAGTGTTAACCCATGCTCCCCCACACTTGAGTAAACCACCTCCCCTCCTTACCATTACCTACGGATCAGACTGTATGAGCCCTTGGGCTCACCAGTTACACACCTGCGGCCATGTTCAGGGGCACAATAATCAGAAGAGCAGACCCCTGAGTTGCCACTGGGGATGAATGAATCCCCCATAGAACATACCCAATCAGCCCAGGACTTTCTTTGTGAAGAACCACGGCCAGCACACCACAACAGCCTTAACAACCTGCGCACCATCGCCTCAAGAACATCAATCAGCTGCCAAAACTGCACACCATCTCTTCCTCTCCGAATTGAACAGATCGACGCTGAACTTACCCACCACAACACCTAGGATTCAAAGAAAGCCACCCCAATGTTCATCGATGACTTTGCGTCACTATCAACTTCACGGTGAGTTTCTACATATCACACGTGACCAAACGCTTCTTGATTACTCACCTTTCCACCGTCTTTATTTCCCACTCTGGTTCCCTCCGCCATTGACTGGAAGGCACAACACCACCAACCCTTGGATCCAGCCTCGCCATCACGCCTATCCTCAATACCATTACTCCAAAATCCACTTATCGGGCCCACCCACCACGTGGACCTCCACTTTCCAACAGGTCTCTGCTTGGTTGTGGTGCTTCCCCCCCCCCTACTTTTTGTTCTCATGTTTTTTCAGTCATATATGCTTTTCCCTGTTTTGTCAGCGTTTTGTACTCTGGGCCAGGCATTCATTATTTTGTGTATATTCCCAGCATGATTCTGTGCCAGGAGGAAGTAACTCCCATGCGCATGCCATCCTGGCCCAGCCAATTAAGATGGCCTAAGGCTCTGAACGCGACTAAACACTGGGCAAGGATGAAAGTGTAGGCAATGAGGGGGGAGTGTTACTTTCACATTGCTGGAGAAGATAAGCGTGCCATAATGTGCAACTATGCTGAACATATACTGTAATTGCACATTATAGCAAAATCTCTAGGGGGCCTCAACATTCCTTGGTAGTTTAGTTAAGAGTTAAGTTTATAAAATTACTTGATTGGTTAAATGAAGACAACATTGCTGTAGCACTTATGTTTAAGGTGTCAACAGATGTACAGTAAGTGAATATGGCCTTGATCAATGATTAAATACCCATAGGCCTTACCTAGGTTCTCCTGGCTGCTGTGAACTCTCGTGAGATGAAGCAGTTGGCCGGTCGTCTTTCTCACTCAGTCACCGTTTCCCACTGTAAACTTGAGTTCAGGTGCCATGATCTCCCTTCTCCGTAAGCCACAACATCCATGTTTACCTACTGCAAACACGCATTTAATGATCTATTATACGTACATGGCTAGCCACCATCTGGCTACAACTTTAACTTTTGTAGGTGTGTATATCTTGAAGGTCAACACTTTGGAGTCTATTTAAAGTATAGTGATGGGTATAAATTATAAAAACTTTGTGAACAATAAAAAAAAAAAGTCATAATTTACAGATAGAGTAGAACTGAGCAGGGAGGGCATGGCTTTGACTCCACATATATAGCAATATGTGAAAATAAGAATCTCTGTTTTTGTACAGAGTTAGCTACATGTGTATGTGTATAAAAGTGTGCAAAGGTCTAACTGATAATCCGCTCAGGTAAGGAAGGAAGGAAATTCTCGATTGCTGCTTTATTGAGACCTGCACTGTATGGAAAAGATGGAAGGATCAAAGTACTATGTGTAAGCTACATACTGCGGCGGTCCTCCACTCCAGGAAGATAGGTCTTTCGCTGGGCATTAATATGAGGGGATAGTTACCCAATCTGGCTGTTTTAAGAAAGATTAGATGATAATTTCATTTCTGTTAAGGTGGCCATATAGTAATAGATCTTGTTAAACTTTGCGGATTGACGAATTTCCTGCTGCAGCTATTGTATTCCCACAGCGAGCGTCCACCACTGGCAGCATATGTGCAGTGACTTCAGCTAATTGACTGCATTCACTGTCTGGCTGAAAATTAACTTTTATCAAGCCGGCAGGGCCACACACACAAAACATTTTGGCCAGTTCCTGTAAATCATCGTATGGCCAGCCTTAGTTGGACAGTGACATGAGATGACATTGATGTGATCTGGCCATGTTCAAGGGCTTGGGCTGCCTGAATTCCTCTTTCATTCAAAAAAAAAAAAAATCATACATGGGATACACTGAGGTAATTTAAGCATGCATGTTTGTGTCAAAAATAATAGCCAGAATGATCAGAGAATAGTCGGGTCATAACATTTTACTTTTTGTTTTTTTAAAAAAAATGCAAACTAAGGATTTTTGTTGCGGAACATAGTTAAGTTATAAATCTTACAAGAAATAACAATAAATATACATTGTATAAAAATAGTTATACAGCATTTATTAATGAAAATGAGGATCCAGTTAACAATTTAATACTGGTTTCCTGTGTAGTCAAAATCAAAAAGTAGGTATAATATCACTTTGTTAAAAATTCCAGAAAATATCCAGTGGTATACACAGCAGACAAAGCCAGATTATTACAGTTGAAATTGAAATGTCCTCCAAAGGCCTTTTTTTAAACTTTTCATTGCAAACCCCAATAGCTTGTTGTACGTTAACACTTGTCTGATGTTTCCTGTTAGAGCATAAACAAACACGTGTGATTGCATGCAAGCATTTGTCTAAATATTTCAGACGTGTAACATTTCAAAAAAGCAGACATTTCACGGGCTTGTGGCGCTTCTTACATGCTCCATGGCACATTGGGATATCTGTCTTTGAGTAAACCCTGGAACCTACTTCCTTCATAGCCTTGACAACCAACGCGTTATCCATGCATTGTGTCATTTTTAGCATAGTGGCATATGTGTTTTAGAATCATAAAAGGCTTAAAGTGTATCTCTAGCCGAAATGTTACATTTAGATAGAGTTGGAGAAGCTTGTGCTGGTGACTGTTATCAGAGAGGGGAAATCCAAAATGTCCCCAGAAGAAGGGAAATCTTCCAATGGAGACACCTGTCCTAAGGACAACTGTCTGAAAGGGGAATGTACCCTCAATTTTTGTGAGGTCCTCTAATTTCTAATTTCCTGTTGCATCTTTGGGACAGGAATTGAAGGGAAATCTTTTCAGTGTTTAATTTTGTCGACTAATAATTTTCGTCTTAGATTTTGGCAACAACATTTTTTCAGTGGCAAAACTAAATAAAACGATGTTATGATGACTAAAACTAGAACGAAAATATATTGACATTTTAGTCGACTAACTAAAGCTAGACTAAAATATTAGGGAGAGACGATTTGGGAAGAGATCCAGTCAGAACTAATCTCTTTGGACTTTCAGTTCCGGTGCTATCCTGAATGTTAATATGTGCAATGGCTTTACAGCCAATTATAGTTTTTAATTTTAAAATTGTACTTCTGTTTGAAAGAACGAAGACTGTCATATGCAAATTGTTATAATCAATGCATATCTAATTAATATGCATTGATTATTGGTTTAATCTAATTTTAAGATCAATAAAGACATGTTCTATATCACAACAGTTAAATCTGTGTCTGTATTGCATATTCAAACCTTAATACCATAAGTAATGACAGGTTAACATGTTTACTCCAGGAGTATGTAATGAGATTGGAAATTCTAGAGAATATCTCAGTGGGTTTTAACTAAACCCACTAGATCTTAGTGGACTAAATCTACTGTAGATTTAGTCCACTAAAATCTTATGATATTGCATTTTATTCAAAAGATTAAGACCAAAACCACTTTCACCTGTGTAGTAATCGGAGAATGTCCCTTGTTTGGGTAAAGAGCTTTGAATTATATACAACACTTGCTACTTACAAACATTGCCATGCCCTATTAAAAGGTGTATATAGGAAACCGATTATATTATATTTCATTTATACAATCTTATCAGTTTTTAAAACATCTAGCCTTTTCCCGGAAGCTTCTACCTTTTATGTTTCATTTTAATTGTAGTATTATTATAATTTTATCTTGTGTGCTGTATATGATGGAACATCTTGTTATTTCTGTATTGCCTGTTTCTTGGTATCCAGCTTTTGCATATTTAACACTGATTTTTTTTTTTTCTAGCATACAGTATTATCCAGAAAATTTGGGGAGGTTATGACGGAATACAATGAAACACAGATTCACTTTCGAGAGCGCAGTAAAGGACGGATACAGCGTCAGCTAGAAATAAGTATGATATTTCAATACTCGTTGCATTCTGTACAGTGTTTTTCCAAACTCTGGACTTGAAGGGAAGGGGCGTGGGGGTGCACAACATGCATGTCTTTCCAGTATGCTTGTTTATTTCATAATTGTATTAGAGTGTGGAGTGATGGTTCCACTTTAAATATTTCATTTATGAAGGTCGGAAGACCGGTCTTGACTAGTGCTTGGAAGATGAATCAAATGGTTAGACATTAAAGTCAAAAAGTGTTTAAGCTATTTCAAATGCTGCTTAAATCACTTAAAATAAAGGCTGCTGCTTTGATGTTTAAATTTTTAGTTTCCTGCGGAATCAGCTGGCCCACTCAGCACTGGTCCTGACATCCTGACTTAGGGTGGCTCCATTCCATTCAAACGGACAAGCATTCCATTCATTTTTTTTAGTGGACACATATATACATTTTGGTGACAACTTTCGCTCACTGCACTGTATCCAATTAAAAGCAGTATTGTTACCCCAGGACAGGAATCACAACTAGCCCTAGGACAGGAATCTCAACTGCATTTTGTGTACTCAAGAGCCAATAGAAAGCAAATATGAACCTGCTGGGGATGAGCCAAGCTCCAGGTTAGGAAAACAAAAATGATAATTACGTATTGATTACAATTGATAATTAATTAGAAAATCCTTGAATTGAGATTTTCAAAGTTGCACAGAAAAATCAGACTGTTTTTAAAGAGCAGCTTCAAGTCATAAGTGGAACCAATCACTAAAGTTTTGCTGCTATCCAGAAAATACTTCACTTGAAAGTCATAACATCCAATCACTAGACCTTAAAATGCGACTGTCACATAAGACAAGTAAAACATTTAGGCCTGGTTCACACATGCGCATTCCGAGAACGCGCGGCGACTCACGCATTTTCATGCACGATCACTGCGCGTTTGCGGAAACGCGCACAAATGCAAAACGCACTTCCATTTGCTATTCATTTCTAATGGCACCCCAAACGCGGCCGGCAAGTCGCACGGTCTTCAACGCGTGCAAATGCAGCAGAAAAAATGCATCCTGTGTGTTGCACAAAGTAATGCAGGAGTCTTTTGCCGTGCATATATGACCCCTTTGAAATCAATGGGCTACGCATCCCCGGGATGCGCAGGTGTGAACCAGGCCTTAGAAGCCTCAAAAAGGAAACCCTGTCTGTATATAATAACTTGGGCATCTCTGTCGCATCTCACACTGCCATTTGGTAGTGAGATTTGCCCTCCTGCCAATATGTAATTCAGTGGGTGCATATTTGAGGTCAAATTAGTGTAATCTAGGATGTAAAAAGATTAATTCAGGGTGCTCCTAGGTACAGTCCACAGGAATTTCAATTCTATTCAGGACTCAATTTTCAGATTTAATGGGAGTGTGATTTTATAAGGGATGATCAGAAACCATATGGCTTGCCTATCTGTGCTTGGTTATATTACTGGTTTACTTTAATGTCCTTCACTTGTTCTTCCTCTTTACACTCTTCAGCGGGCAAAGCCAGTAGCTTTTAGAGAGTATGTTTCACATACGCTAAGAAAGAAAAGTGGTAAAAGTCTTGGTTTCCTTCCCACTACAAATCAATACATCAGAGTTTGGAGTCGGAGGGGAAAATTAATCTGGTTGTTATTATTATCACTAGAAGCAGGAAAAAAAACTTTATGGACACTTGTTCAGTTCTGTGCTAGCCTTGCTCCTAATTGTTATGTGATTTACAGGAAAATATTTTCTCAACTGCCTGTAAAATAATGGCCCGGGTATTATTTAGCGCAGTATTACTCAAAGTTTTCTAATAATCCACCATGCCTCCGTTAGAAAGAGAGGAGGTGATAATGACTAAAAACACACAGAGGAATGTTAAGTGTGCACCAGACTACACGACTGCAGAAAATGGGTCTCATGCTTTCCCTGTTGAAATATTAATGAATGAGACAATTTCCAGACACATCTTTTTAAATGGAAAGTGTGAACAGAAATCTCTAATGTATCTCAGTCCACATCACACAAATGACATGTTATTATTCTGTTTTAGCTGGAAAAACGACTACAGATGATGAACTGGAAGAGATGCTGGAGAGTAGGAACCCAGCGATTTTCACTTCGGATGTAAGTAGAACATATAGGGGTATATTTATCGCTTATTCAGTTGAGGACGAAAAAAAAACCCATAAGCCCAGCAGAATGAATAGAGGGGCTGAATCTCTGCAATAATGGAGAAAAAACGGAAACAATGCGTCTTAATTGCAGAATGATAAGTGTTTAAAGCCACAGTCCAGGGGAAACTATGATCATTTACACACCTCACTGCGTGTGTAAATATTCATTAAAAAATTGTGTGTTATGTGCAGAGGGCGGCTGCAAAGTGGAAAAGCCATACTTGCGAGCAGTCCTTCTTAAACTTTTTCCACTCATGACCCCTTTTCGCACAAGTTTTAACATGACCTCCGTTATACAGGTATATAAAACAAACATTTACTGATATGATAAATCCTAAAGAAATTGAATTGAAAACAATTATTTGGTATGCATATAATTTTACCATTTAATAGTTTTCAAAGACTTTGCAGGAAACTGTAAGCAAGAGCAGAGCTTAGGTTGGAAACAGTCTGATTCTGTCCTGACAGCCTGGGCAAGGATTCGACAGTCGCAGTTTGCAATTTAAAAAATGACTTTTAAAGCCCAACTCCTGGGAAAACTTTTTTTTTTTTTCTGGATAGTATGGGGAAGGGTTAGAAGAATCTCTGTGTCCCCTGCTAAACCAGCCCCAGAGTAGACTTCTGCTTACCACTTAAAGGAGAACTATGGGGTCAGTGTTTTTCCCCATAGTTCTCCTTAGGGTAACGGGAGGACACAAACTAGTGTCCTCCCGTCACCCTAAGCTCAGTATACCGCGAGCTACAGCTCGCGGTATACTGAGACGCCGCACCTGGAGCGGATCCCGACTTAGATGACGGGATCCGCCCAGCTGCGTGAGTGACAGCTGGCTCTGCCTATCTAGAGGCAGAGCCAGCTGTATCCGCCCCCTCCCCTGTGCGTTCCGCCAGTCAGCGCTGGCAGATCAGAGCGGGGAGAGGGGAATCCAGCCCCAGAGAGCCGTGACAGGATCGAGAGGTGAGTGAACCCGGTATGTGTTCGCTCACCTCCCGATCTACTGAGCTGACCTGTGACAGTCTCATTGTCACAGGTCGGCTAGAACTATGAGGCGAGTGGAAATCACTCATGTCATAGTTCTCCTTTAAGCAGCCTCTGCTCCCGGCCGCGTCCTGTCTTGCTCTGCAGCGCTTTGGCCCGCTGAAAGGCAAGCTCTGCCCCCCTGCACGTACACAGGAAGATACCAGTACTACCAATTGTACGGGGGGTTGACACCGTGCCAAGTTACAGTCCTAGTCTTGTACGCCACAGCGGCGGTGGACCCTGCAAGTGTCACTGCCAGGAATTCGGCTTTTTCATTGCGACCCCCCCCCGCCCCCACATTCAGTTGCGTGACACCATATAGTTTAAGAAGCCCTGCCTTACAGCATGTCGTCTCTTTCATATAAAAGAGTACTGAGGGGACTGAGAGATGCGATTCGAGCAGTGACGTGCACCACCTACCCTTCCTCACTTTTGGCCTTTCACAAAATGTGGAGGACAGGGATGTAACATCTCCCCTCCTCCAGTCACAGAATGCCTTATTCCATGTATTATTTGAAACAAATACAAGACATTTTGTGAATAGGCAATAGTGAGGAAGGGCAGTGATGTGACCAGAGCACTTCACTGCACAAGCATTTTGTGCCGGAGACAGAGTGCTGCAATGTAAGATTTTAATCCTTTGCATCAGCCCTCCACACAACACACAGCTTTTTGATGATAATGTACACACCCAGTGAGGTCATTTTTACCTGGAGTATGGCTTTAATGTAAAAGAACGTTACATGTTTCCGAGGGTATGCCCTCTTCTATCCTCAGTCATTCTGACAAATACTCATTCTGAAAAGAACTTGAATAGCAAGACGCCTTGTGTATACTCCTTGCTATTTTTCATTTCTTTTATAATTTGGTGCATTCCAATTCACAATTCTGAATGAAGCACATTTATTGAGCACTCTGTAAATACACCTTTTTCCCATAGATCATTTCAGATTCCCAGATCACAAGGCAGGCTCTGAATGAGATTGAATCACGACACAAGGATATCATACAGCTGGAATCTAGCATACGGGAGTTACATGACATGTTTATGGACATTGCTATGTTAGTGGAGACTCAGGTACATTTTTAAGAATTTTGTTTTCTTCTGGTTGCCATTTATAATGTTCAAACTGGGTGAAAAAATAATGGGGCTAAAAATGAAATAACCTATCACAGGGAACTCAGATTTCTGTGTGTGAGTGTTAATACACGCTAGAGGCCTAACTTTTTAAGGTGATACTGGGGGTCCAAAAGACCCCCTAGTATCGCCTTCATACTTGAAATAAGCACTTGAATAGTTTATAGCTGAGCTTCAGGAGCCCAGAACTGACAGCTATGGGACCGGAAGTGATGTAATCTGCATCGCTCCCGGGCCCATAGTACGGGGAGGAGATCGGTGAACGGATGTTCACCGATCTCCTCTCCAGCTTCCCCCCGACACTGGGCCCGGGCCCGTAGGAGGGGCAGCAGAGCACGGATAACGTGGGGGATGGGGGGTCCCTCTTACCGGCCCGTAGAAGCGATCTGGCAGTAGCCTAAACTCGGTTATGCAACTTGCAGGTTGTGCAACTTGCAGGTTGTATGATTCATTATAAATCGCCACATTTTTGAGATTTAATTTTGCTGAATTCTATCAGAACGATTTTTTTTTTCTAAGAACTCTGGGCAAAAATGATCTTCCCCCTTGCAGTGGGCCTACCCCACACTGCAAGGGTTAAGTGCTCATTTTAATCTAGGAGCAAAAATAACAAGTTATACTCACCCAAACCTTGCAGATGACCGGCCGTTAGACCTGTCCCTTTAGCCCCTCTGTCCCTCTGCTCCAGCATTCTAAGGTCCTGTGAGTCATCATAACCAATACAGTGTATTGACCGTGAGGATACCGAGGGACCTTCCATCGCTCAAGTGGAGAAGGGGATGGGCTGAAGGGACCGGTCTAGGAGCCAGCTGGCTATATCATTCAGTTGAGTACATTTTTATTTTCGCTCCTACACAAACAGCGGATCATATACACTTGGGATACCCACCACACGAGGTTGTAGGCCAAAGGACAAAACATGTCTGTTTAAGATGGGAGCAATGCGGAGGAGAAAAATTACAAGTGTCAAGGTGAAGAGCATTGAAAGACCTACTAAGCTAGTTCTATTTACTGATCACCGTCTAACACTGACTTTCTATTCTTGGAGATGAGCATCATGTGTCATTGAAAAGGAAAATTTAAGGGACTGAATGGAAAAGAGAAGAAATATTCTTCAATATAAATCCAGACTGCCTACACTTATTCGCCTTAAACAAAAACCTTCAAGGAGCCATACAAACAGCTCACTGTACACTGTGACTGACTATAAATACACAGGGCCCATAAAGATTCTCGTTTACACAAGGGAAAACATTCCCCATTTACCCGCTACAAAGAGCCAGTGTTGTCACTGTAGAAATCCATCTCTGATAGCAAGGAATGAATGCCGAGCATTTTTTCTTGGTTTGCAGAAAGCAGTATATTTTGTATTGAAATAAATAACACTGTGGCCAGATTGACTAATATAGATCTATTTTAACAGCATTTTAGTTACTTCAGCACTACAAATGCTATTCTATTCTTTTTTTAATATTATGGTTGTTATATTGCTAGCATAGATTTGAAGAATAACCATATATTCTAAATGTGTTTAAGCTTAGTGACACTAAACTCAGAGTTAAATCTTAAATGCATTATGCATAATCCTAACTCTCAACAAAAATGTGTATCTTATTTGTGTATCACTCGGCTGTAGATCATCAAATCATCTCTGAATTGGTGCTGACACTGGCCTTCCTTCTGGAGGGTGGCTACTTTTGTTCCCCATGGTCCTTGTGTGTTTTGTAAAGTAGTCACCGCTCCAAGATCTCTCCCGTGATGGACTACAATCTCATGTTTAGTTTACTAATTTGTATTCAAATTATACTCCATCATGGGAATGATATTGGTGTGTGAAGTGTTTAGTGGCGTTTTTTTATTTATTTAAATAGATGTGACATCTTAAATCTTTTGTGAATGCAAAATGTCATCTTAAATGTGTCCAAATATTAATGTGGCAGTACATGTATACTTGAATGGAAATCTAACATTTTACAGTTGTCCTGGAAAAAGGAATAGAGGGAAAATCTCGTTGTGGGGACACCTGGGATGACAGTCCCAGATACCCTTTGAGGAGGTTTCCTGTCATTTTCTTGGCTGAGACAGGAAGCGAGAGCATAGCATTGGGCATACAAATGGCAATAGAAACATGTGGTTCTGATTCTTCCCGATATATCCAACGCTAAAAAAACAGATTCATCTAGCGTTCCAGTGTAAGGTAGAATATTGTATTAATGTATAGTTCTGAACGGTAGGTATACTTTTTAGAACAGTTTTGTATACAGTATGTTTTCATACTGTGTTTTATTTGAATCTTGTACATTTGCACTTATAGTCCGTAAAGACATCTATTGCCTTGGGACTGTGTTCATGTGTCTGAAAGTAATAAAATATATAAACCACAGGACCAAAAGAATATACATGTCTGTGTATTCTCCAGATGTTAATAACTATGTAACACTTTGCCATTTGCTGCTGGTTTTTTTTATTCCTGGAGGATGAGGATACAGGTAAAGTAATTGTGTTTTTTCATAGAAAAGTTACATTTTCATTTCAGCGCGTACACATAATATACACGGGACAATTGTTTTTGTCATTTTACATCACTAATTCTCATGTGAGCTATGTTTTGCACAGTTGCCATTGTATCAAAAACATGCTCTTTAAATTACTATTTTCAGACCTTTAGGCCTCATTCACACACAGCGCAAGCAAAAATGTATATTGCGTATATACGAGCGTCTATGCCCATATATACGAGCGTATATGCGTGCACTATATGCAATCCCAGAATGCATCACTCGTAATGGAATTTTTAATGTACTGTACGCACGTATATACGCAGAAATACGCTGACCGGACTCCTCTCTGTTCCATTCCGTTTTTGCGCATATATACGCTACGCAAATATACGGCTCCATACGCGGCTGTGTGTATGGAGCATTTATTTGCATATGGTACAATATGCACGCACGTACGCGCGGTAGTGTGAATGAGGCCTTACAGAAAAGCACAAGTGAATGTTTTGGATTTTTATTTTTACTCATATTGTGATTGGAATGGAAATTACTACAGTTGCCCAATTTGTGTCATCGAATGTGGGGATTGTCCTTCTCCTTTGACATTTGAAGTGTCACTAAACTCAGGAGTTAAATCTTAAAAATGCATTCAAGTACCTTAACTATCATAACTATCACTTTAAGTAAGAGGGGAGGAGCTTAGCAGTAAGAGGGTAGGCCTTTGTAGCACAGTGACAATGGGTACAATTACAAAAAACACCTGTTCTGTGGCTTTATCCAGAACAGCACAGTGACATTTATAAAGTGTTGTGTGTCTGCTGGAGTGGCTCCTCTGCAGTAAAACTCTGTAACACTGCAACACATCTACCATATGCTATCTAGCGCCTCCATGTTATTGATTGCTTAAATAAGGACCAAACAAGGCCAGCAGAGGACAAAGAACTAGTCCTCAGTATTGCTTGTTGTCCCCATGCAACTGATCTTTTTCATTTACCTATTACGGTCTTAAAACGCCTTGTTCTCTGCTGTGTTTGTGTGGGGGTTGCCATCTTGCGATAGAAGCAGGGCTTTGCTTTTTGATGTCAGAGCTGTCCCCCTTTTGACCTGTTGGGAAGCAGCAGGAAAGGTGCATAAAGCATAGAGCCACAAAATGAATTAAAGTAGTAATAAACTCTCAGACATGTTTTGTAATGAATCCAGATCAAACAAATATACATTGCCCAGCAAAGCATTGCTTTATATTTTTGCCCAAACACTTGCAATTATCATGTTTCTGAACAGCTGCTTCCAAGTCTCTCAGCTCAGCTTCCCTGAACTTGCTCTCCAGTACAAGATCACAAAGCACAGTTCAGACTCAACTGTCTGAACTGCAACTGTTCATTTACTAGCTTGGAGGAGGGCGGAGAAGGGGCCAAGGGGGGAGTGGAGTATATAAATGGGTAAGCCGTATTAGTCCAGTAGACAAGACGTCGAAAAAACTTAGTATTGCAGTGTGATTTAGAAAAAACATTTATTTAATGTGTCATTTTTAACATTTAAAAAAAAAAAAGAATAGAATGAAAAACATATGCTGGTGCATTCACCGCATGCTAACAATACCGTACGATTCTGAAATACACAGTTGTTTTTTCAAAGGTGTATATACGGTATGCTCCTATGCGTCCCAACATGTTTCGCCCATCCGTGCTTCTTCAGGGGAAAAAAGTAAGAAAAGGTATGTATCCTAAGAGGAAGGTAAAAGGAACCCACATGTGATAAGATTAAAGGACTGCACTTCATCCTACAGCAGGGTCATCATTTACATTTTTGGTTTCAATCATAATAATAAAAAAAAAAAAACATTGAAAAGTATAATAATGTTCAACGCTTATGTGTATATATCTTCACGATCAATTAATAAGAGGCAGAGGAGTATAATGGAGGAAAACAACTGTTTCATTTGATTCGAGTTCAGGTAAAGATGGACTTTATCGGGCATAGGCTGACACAGACTTAAACATAAGTATTAGCTTAATATTTGAAGTAGCAGCAGCATTCCATTTCATGTAAGGACCTGATTGCAACATAATATCAGTAAATTTCAATGGGCACGTTTCTGGGAGCGAGATGGGGCGGGGGGAGTTAATGGAGAGCCACATAGTGCAGATATATAAGTTTAAGATAAGACAGAATCTTGGTGCTTCTTGGGCAAACTCACCAGCCCAAGTGTCTCCGTCGGCTAACGAAGGGAAGGGGGGAGGAGTCCGATGACGTCACCGGACTCCTCACCCCTTCCCTTCGTTAGCTGATGGAGACACTTGGGGAAGGGGGGAGGAGTCCGCTGGCGGAGAGGTGAGTCTTTTCATTTTCGATCAAAATAATTTTAATCGATCAAAAAGCTTAACGATTAATCGAGGAATATTTTTATTGTGACTGGTTCTCTTTATATATTTATGCTACATTTTTATTTTCATCCACTGACCAGGTCATATTTTTTCCACTAATTTTCATGGTCACATTGAAGGTCATCCCTTTATTGTTACATTGTATTTAATTTAAATGTTGTTGCTTTAAAAACGTCCCAAATTATATCAACTGTTTGCATTATACAGGGTGAAATGATAAACAACATAGAGAAGAATGTTGAAAATGCTACCGATTATATTGAACATGCCAAAGAAGAAACAAAGAAGGCAGTAAAGTATCAGAGCAAATCACGCAGGGTAAGTGTGATAAAATATAGATAAATCAGAGCGTCTGATGTAGGAAATGTGCTGTGGCTGCTGAAGACCTTTGATATCAATGTACCTGTTCCCCTCTCTTCCTTTGGCAGATTGTTGTGTGTTCCTATCTTCGTTCTTGCCATGTTTGGCAGGGTCCTGTTTAGAGCTGCAGCTAATGATTATTTTCAAAATCGATTAGTTAGCCGATTTATTAAGTTCGGTTAATCGGATAAAAAAAATTAAAGACATTTTTAAAAATGGCTCCAGCGATGGGACTACTTGTTTGTATTGAGATTGCAGTCCATCACAGGAGCAAGCTTGGAGCGGTGGAAGTAAAAAAGAAAAAAAAAGTGTGGTGTGCAATATAGTGAAATGGAAAGTGTAAAATCATACAGCAATCAATGCAGAATGGCACCAGCTATAGAGGACTACAAATCCCAGCAATATTGTATCTAAAATCGCTTATTGTATCTAAAATTTCTAAAAAGTTTTAGAAATGGCTTTCCTGTTTAAAGTCTTTTTATTGGCATCCCCATGATTCTGTCAATGGGCATGTGGGACAAAGTATCTGTTTGCCTGTGTGTGGCCAATCCTTCTCAGCAACTCATAGCTTAATAAGTCGAAACTATAAAGAAAAAACTTGGCTCTCATTATGCAGTGCTAGTTAGCAAGATCTGGGAATGTTATGCCATTACTTAGTATGTTGTAAAGCAAGAGGGTTGAGCTGAGGCAAACAGTTTTTTGGGGGGGCATTAGCTGTTCTTCTTTATAAAGGAAAGAAAAAGTTCTTATGGAATTTAGTGGTTTCTTACAAACCAAAAATATTTTTTTATATTCTTGATTTTTAACTTAAATAAAAAAAAAAAATCAAGAAATAAAAAAAAAAAAAAAAGGAAAAAAAACAACGTATAAAAGAATATGCAAAGAATTGTTTTAATATTAAAGTGGAGTAAGAATAGCCCTGCAGTGCTAACCTGTTACCCACAGCTACAAAGTTTCTACCAAATGCCCTTCCAGGCTCGCCACGGCTGCTGTCATCCTATAGGAACTGTGTTCAGGCTGAATTATTAATTGAAGGGACTGTGCTTGAACAGCAGCCACATGACACCCCTTCCCATCTGTGGCTAGGTCTGGTGCCTACGGCTAGACACTCCCTTTAATCTCCTGTCACAGGGAAGCTGCTCGTCGGGCTCCACTGTCTGCTCGTCACAGACGAGTGGATTTTTCGAGCCCTGTATGTGTATATATATATATATATATATATCAGCTTACTAGTCCTTAGATGCTTTTACTTATTATTTTCACCTGGTGATCGTGCCAGTATCATACTGCTTGTCCTAGAGTATTGTCACCCTAGGCGGCTCTTTTGTTTTGGGCTACAAACACCTCCTCTTCTCAGCACCATTACATAGGGAGGAGGTCTTTTGTGGTTAACAGAAATTGGCTATAATTGGTTGATAATTTTATCAGGTATTTTTCTGTACTTGCAGAAAATGAACTGTACCATGCCTAAAAAAATAAAACAAATGCAGCTGCCGCATCTAAGGACTAGTAAGTTGCAATCTGTAAAAAAAAAATTCTCCCCATATGTTGTTAAAACTTTGTTGTGTTTTCCGTAAACCTTTTAAATGTTCACTACAAGCATTTGTCAGTAATGTGTTTTTTTTTTTAAATGAATCAATGATTGAAATTGACGACTCAAGTTTCCCTCTTACATATTGAGAATCACACTGTTTAGTGATAGTGACCAGGAAACATTCTGACTGAATTCTCTTTTTAAACTTTTAACAGAAACAATGGATCATTGGGATTTTAGTGCTGGTGGCGGCTGGCATAATTGCCTTGATTATTGGTTTGTCAGTTGGCCTTAAATGAAGTTTGGGGTTTTTTCTTTTTTATTTGTTGCCATTATGAATGCACATCTGCCTGTGTGGCAGTAAGTAACATATTCATTTTTCTTCTGTGCTCCCTCATTATACCATCAGGCTTAGGCGTAAGAACAATATTTTATGACAACATGATAAGACCGCTATAGCTAATTGGCTGTATTTACATTTTGGTAAACGTGTAAGAGATCAGTTTGGTATTAAATAAGGTTGATTGTATAAGGAGTGGGCAGCACAACCGTAGACTACCCTATGATTGCTGTATAGACACGGGCTGTTTATAGTGGTGATGGCATCTCACATTTATCAGTTACACAACAAATGTTTAAAAAGCCTCTTGTGGTAAAGAATTATTACATTTATGGATAACAAAATGAAATGTTCATGAGCTTATCGTAAGTGAAAGAAAAGAATATTTTCTATCTGGCTTGAATAAATAAAACAAAAAACTGCTAAATAATATTGGTCCCACTTTTAGCTTAACATGTCTGCTAACATCTGCTAGCACAATTGGTCAGCCGTAGTCCTAAGAATGTCCAATATCTCATTTGCACATGTAATGGGGGGTACTTTTACATAATCATATTCAAGGCTCCATTCACATCTAGGCGATACCTAATTATGCGTGTTTTCCGCGTGCATTTTGTGCGCATTTTTCACGCATATAATAAGTCCTTTCATTTTTGTGAGCAGATTTTGGCACATTCATGTGTATGGGCAAAACGTACACACATTGTTCTTAAGCCTTTTCTATTGAGTCTATGGGATAAATTTGCCCCAAAGTAGCTCATGTACTATTTCGAGCGACAGGCGTATTTCTGCTTGCGACAACTCACAGGTGTGAAAGGGGGCCATAGAAATTAGGGATGCATTGATACCGGGTTTTTGGTATCGAGTAAGAGTACCAATATTTTGCTTTCGGTACTCGCCCATACAGAGTACTGATATTCTGTGTTTCCATTGACATGATATCTGTTATCTGTGTTTCCACTGACATGGAGCCGGCTTCCCGGGCAATCAGGCAGCGGGTAATGACATGCCACCTGGCTTCCTGATTGCCCGGGAAGCTGCTTCCATGTTGTTTGGCCAGCTAGATTGTGATTTGCTGGGAAACCGGCTTCCCAGCCAATCAGCATCAAGCCGGCTTCCCAGCCAATCAGGAAGCCGCGCGGCGATTTAATGA